TATTCAGAAAGAGACAGAGAGAAGAGGGGAGGAGTTGATCTTGCGAGAACTTCCGGGCGGGTGAGAATAGCCACTTTCTAGATTTATATAGATCTCAATGGAGGATTCATATTCCAATTCTATTGTGTCAAACCCTATCATAGGTTGTGCTGTAATATTAATGTTGGTAAAAAGCATTTCATCAGGTGCATGAATTATTTACATGTAGATCTAGATCTATTTATTTAGAATCTGGACTCAGCTGAGTCCCTCTGTTCGGAATCGGATGCGGATTTTAGTTCAAGGCCTATTCCTATTCACTTGTTCTACAAAATCTAGATCTAGATTTATTTAGATTAACTAGATCTATATGGAGGATTCATATTTCAATTCTATTGTGTTATTGTATCTGTAGTTTGTTTCTTTCTGTTCCTTTATCTATATCTCTCTCTGCCACTATCCACATCAGCATTTTTTATATCTGCACCGCTGTCTACATTACATGTATCTAAATCTAGATCTGTATCAATGTGCCAAAAACAACTATTTCCTCCAAACAAAATGCTCCAAGAGCTGTGATATTGCATTTATCATAGCAATGTAGATGTAGGATGCTCCTTGTTTGTTTTGGAGTGTGGGGTTTTTTTTCGAAGTGACTATTTCTCCGAACGTTCGGAGAAATAGTGCCGATCTTTATTTCTCCGAACGGTTTCCGGCTTCCGGTCTCGTGATTTTTTGCCTATTTATTGCGAGAGTTCGGCGCCAACTTTCATTCTGCCTCTGGTCTGGGAAGGAACACGTACCGCATGGCAAGCCCGCCTACAGACAACCTTCAGTAGTAACACCCACCACACACACACCACCATCATGCACATGTACACACACTAACTAAACATAACTAGTGGGCAACTTTTGAACGTATGACGAGCTGAACTGTGGATGGAGAGACAGTGTGAGTGAAAGCGGGTGAAAGGAAGAATGTGCGAGTGTATCCACAGGCGACAGCAACTACAAGACGACGACACCGACCACCCCTGGCCTGGTCCACAGCTCATGAACAAAAGGAATGCAGCACAGGCGGTGTTTTGCCTATATTATTGTCCATGGTTCGCAGGGAACAAGTGAGATTTTCTTTGTGTGTGCCTGGAGGGATGGGGTGGGGTATGAAAGTCATGCGGACGGGGATGAGCCGCGGGAGAGAACACGGGAATTGAATGAAAGAGTGAAACTGAAAGGGACGAACGACTCATGAGTCCTGGAGTGAATGGATCCTGTGTTTCTATTTTTGTATACTTTGAACTGTTACTGAATAAAGGCTGAAATAAAGCCCGAAAAACAAACAAACACACACCTCCTCACTCTCCACTTACTACCACACACAGACACACTCAAACACGCACATACATACACACACACACACACACACACACACACACACACACACACACACACACAGGAGCAAATTTTTGGGTCTATATCTATTTCAATTTTCAACAGCTAGTCTAGATGACATTTTTAGATGAGTGTAAAAACGTGAAAAAGAAAGGTTTCACAACAGAAATAAATAAAAATTAGAACAGCCCATAAACAACAAAAAACATTAACAAGTAAGGGCGTGTGTCCACCTGTCAGAAAAAGATTGGCAGTTTTAACCCTAAATGTGCGTAATTTTTAAAAAAGTACAGGATATTACATGTAAATTATGGAATCACACACATTAAGGGGCTTGCCAGTGTCAGTACATTGGTCGCAGCAGTGACAAACGCAGATGCCAGTTCTATGTGTCGTTTAACCCTCCGTAGATCTAGATCTAGACAGCACACGAGTGAACACAACACATTACGTTTAAGAGCAGCACCCTTCATAGGCAACACGTCATATCTATAGCGAAAAACTGTTTGGAATTGTAGCATTTTTTAATATAAATATTTACGGCGGACATTTTTTGGACCGATTGAACCATATTGTATACGAACAATCTTTGGTAGGCCCATACTATAATTATAGATCTATATAATATCCGAAATTTGCGGGAAAGGATGATATTTCAGAGTGTTCGGAGAAATAGTGCCCAGTTTGGACCGATTGAACCATATTGTATACGAACAATCTTTGGTAGGCCCATACTATAATTATAGATCTATATAATATCCGAAATTTGCGGGAAAGGATGATATTTCAGAGTGTTCGGAGAAATAGTGCCCAGCTTTATTTTCCCGAACGTTCGGAGAAATAGTGCCGGCCTTTTTTTTTTTTCATTTTGGACTTGTGTTGGCCTTTTTACGTGAGAGGCCCGTTGCAGGTTCTTTTTAGGGGTAGGGTTAGGGTTAGGTCTCTTCTTTATTGTGTTTGTTTGGGTGGTCGCTCGTTACTCGGAAGTCCTTCCTATGACACCCACAAAAGCTCTTATAGGGGGGGGGGTTGCGCAAAATTTTCAGACAGTCTGGTTGAGGCTCACATGCAGGTCTAACGGGGGGAGTAGATCTTGCGAGAACTTCCAGGCAAAACAAAATGGCGACCCGCGTAGTTCGGCTCGGTTCGAAAATTGAAATGTCCATAGCATTTATTTTTTTTTAAATTTTGTAAAACGTTTTACGGCCCTCGAAACTGCATAAGGTCATATGAGCGCGCGCAGCACACCTAATATTTTCAGTTGGTAGGAAATTTTGAATTTTGCCCAGGTGGCGGCCGAAGCCTACTCTTGTCGATTTTAGACCACCAAGGGATCTTTAACGTGCGCAACTTGCACACGGGCCCTCCGAGATTTTTCTACCTTGTCCGAGAAGGCTTGGTGTAGATCTTTCCTACCAGAAGATCAGGGGTATGGCAGAAAGACAGCAGTAAGGAGTAGCAGTAGAAAGGCTGCAGAAAAGTCAGGAGCCCAGAGGAGGGGGAAAAGGAGGTGAGGGGGTAGGGGCAGAAAGTGGAAATAAGAGCAGACAACAGAACATTGCTAGAGAGCAGGAAAGAAGGTGAAAGGAGACAATTTTAGAGAAGAAAATTTTTCGGTCGCTACCCAGATTCTAACCCGGGACCTTTTGAATGAGAGGCCAACACCTTAACCTCTAGGCCACGAGAGCCCCCATAGCATCTTTGTAGACGATCAAATTAGCTTACTTTTGTGCTATTATAACGTAATTTTTTCTTTGCTTTTATCCATTTGATCTTCAGCACCAATAGAAAGTATTCCGAAAGTAGGAAAAACAGGTCTTGTTTCACACCTCTAGGCCACGAGAGCCCCCATAGCATCTTTGTAGACGATCAAATTAGCTTACTTTTGTGCTGTTATAACGTAATTTTTTCTTTGCTTTTATCCAATTGATCTTCTGCACCGATAGAAAGCATTCCGAAAGTAGGAAAAACAGGTCTTGTTTCGCACCGGGTGAGAATAGTCAACTGTGGCAAGTCTCACCCGGGGTGAGAGGTCGATCGTATTTTTATTCTCACCCCGGGTGAGGATAGCCACTTCCAAAAGTAAAAGCGTGCAATTTTGTCTGTGGCCAGTGGGAAAGGAGTAGCGCGAGAACTTCCGGGTGAAAAAAATGGCGACCCGCTTAGTTCGGCTCGATTCGAAAAGTTAAATAGCCGTAGCATCTTTGTAGATGACCAAATTAATTTACTTTTGTGTTTTAACATCATTTTTAAACTTTGTTTTGGTCAATTTGATCATCCACACCGATAGACAGTATAGATCTATTCAGAAAGAGAGAAGGGGGGGGGGGGAATAGATCTGGCGAGAACTTCCAGGCAAAACAGAATGGTGACCCACGTAGTTCGACTCGATTCGAAAAGTAAAATAGCCATAGAAGGCTAGCATCTTTGTAGACCACCAAATTAGCTTACTTTTGTGCTATAATGTCATTTTTTCTTTGCTTTTGTCAATTTGATCATCCACATCGATAGACAGTATTTTGAAATTAGGAAAAACAGGTCTTGTTTCACATCGGGTGAGAATAGCCAACGCTGGCAAGTCTCACCCGGGGTGAAAGGTCGATCGTATTTTTATTAAGCCACTTTTTATTTTCACGAGAATAATCGTGACAGCCTTCTCAAAGGAAGTGGCTATCCTCACCCGGGTTGAGAATAAAAATACGATCGACCTCTCACCCCGGGAAACGCCTGTCTATCTGTCAGCACTCTTCAGGTTCACTGCCCCGTTAACCTTCGTTTGAAGCGTAATCTTCCAATTTCTGCGGTTCCCCCCTCACCCCTGATAGACATCTCAAATGAGGCTATTTCATGTGAAAGTAAATGCCTAGTTCAGTGCCTTTGGAATTTTTTAGATATCTCATGTCATAGTTATACACGTGGTAGGTTTTATTAACAATGAAATCTACTGTTGTTAAAAAATCAAAATTTTTAACTAATAGAGGATCGTGGATGTGGCCTCCCATTTTCCTGTTCTCATTTCTACTTCATTGCAGAGAAACCATGCTCTTACTCTTCTTTTTCATCAGTTTTGTCTTTTTAGACTAGTCTGTTGAGTTCTTACCATTTTGTCAAGTTTTTATTTTCTTTTGTTGCTTCTACTGTCCTGTCTTGTACTTGTTCCATAATAATATGTTGTGTGTTTTTCTCTTTCTTTTTGCAGCATGAAGCGGAATTCAGATCATTTCTGAAGGCAGCTAAGGGCAGTGTGAATGAGAAAAGACTAGCGTCACAATTCATCTGCAGGTTCTTTAAACATTTCCCAAATGTTCAAGAAGAAGCGATTAATGTATTGTTCGAACTGTGTGAGGATTCTGATCCCAATGTAAGTATTTTGAAATTTTTGTTTTTTTTTAGTTTTAATGAGTTCAGTTTTAATTTTTTTAAATTTTGGGTTGTAAATATTTAGCAGTCCTTAATTTTATCCACTACTTCATTTTCTCGCCATTTTCAATTATGAATGGTATTTTATTTCAAGAATATCACATTATCAACTTTATATCTCGGGGCAGGGTTTTCCCACTATGCTTGGGCACTTTTTGTTCAAAACCTGATTAGTGACATACCGTCACAGAATTTATCAGTAATTCAAAAGAAATTAACCTAACATTAGTTACATGAAGAACTAACATAAAATAGGTTTGTTACTGTTTTCTTTGGCTCTCAAGCTGCAGGAAGTTATCTCAGAGATTACTGCAAGGGATTTTTGAGGCATAATACCACTTATATTTCTTCTAAACAAGAGCTCACACAACTCTCTTGGCAACCTTGTTCTTTCTAATGCAACATTATCTCCAATAGGATATATATTAATAATAAATGACATTTATATAGCGCTGAACCCCGATTAAAGTACACAGGCTCTGAGCACTTTACAATACAGTACAACGTACAACAGTAACATAAAACGTGTTCTGACAAAAAGAAAAACACTCCAAATATTCATCTTATTAACTTAAAAACAAAGACTTCAGCTGATATTTGAATGAATCAAAAGATTTGATCTCTCCTAAAGTACTTGGTCAAGCATTTCCAGATCTTGGGGCCTTGGTATTCAAATGCCCTTTCACTCGCTGTTTTAAGTTTCTTCATCATCACTGCCTTTTTCACCCTGCACCAGAGTATAGGCCACGGACAAACACCTTCCACCTTTCTCTATCCTGGGCTAGCTTCTTGATGTTATTCCCTGTCTTCCCACTTTTCTGTACATCGATTTCTGTGATTCTTCTCCAGGTTCCACGAGGTCTTCCCCTTGATCTCTTACCCTATGGGTTCCAATCCAAAACTTTCTTTGTTATGCAGCTGCCTGACTTTCTGGGAGTATGTCCAATCCATCGCCACCGCCTTCTTCCTACCTCATCTCTGACTGGGATCTGTCTTGTTTTCCTTAAACTTTCTTCCTCATTGGTGACTCTGTCTGTCCATCTGATCCTCACTAACTTTCTTAGACACCTGTTCAAGAAAACCTGGTTCCTCTTTATGCAAGTCTGTGATGCGTTCCATGGCTCATTTCCATACAACAGGACCGACTTCACATTTGAATTGAAAATCCCCATCTTTGTTCGAAATGAGATATCTCTGGTCCTCCAAATCCTATCCAAAGATATGAAAGCAGCCTGTGCTTTTCCAATGCGGGACTTTATTTCAGCACCTGTTCCTCCCTCTCTGTCAATTATACTCCCAAGACAGCAGAAGGATTCAACGTTTTCTAGTGCCTTTCCTTCTATTGTGACCTGTTCCTTTCGTTGTGCATCTGTCCTTAAGACCTTTGACTTTCCAGGGTGGACCTGGACTCCAATAGGCTTTTTAATACTGAATTTAAGTTTCATATAGATTTTTAAAAATAAATTTCTTTTTGTCAGCTGATGACCTTAAACTGCAAGTTGGAATGTACAGTCTTATCTGATTTGATAAATATGATGGCGCATATGATATTTATAGTTTAGAAGCTGGTTTGATCCTCAAGCACTGTCACTGATATTGTATTTCTATCTTTGTCAGTTGCCAAGTAGTCTTTCGCTGCACATGAAACTTCAACAAATGGAAAGTACTTTTCCAGGGGAATACAATGTCCTGTTGGTGCAGGTGCTGAAACCAATGCCATGGATGGTCTTAAGATTGCAACTTTTGATGCTGATACTGTAACCACTTTGACCCAGATGGTTTTAATTTTAGTACAGTTTACTTTGAAACATTAGGTAACGTTAATTTAATAACTTACCCTTACAGTTTTAAGTGAAGAACTTGTTGTGACAATTTTTTTTACAACAGATAAGGAAGCAGACAGTGAAAGATGTCCCCGCACTGTGTCGAAACTGTCCGGACAAAGTAACCAGGTTTGCAGATGCTCTGTCCATGCTGTTGGCAACAGATGATGCACAAGAAATCTCAGGCATCCAGTCTTCCCTCTACAGCCTCTTCTCTATCGACATCAAAGGTAAACATTCAGTATTGTCTTTGTTGTTGTTTTTTTTGTTTTGTTTTTGGGGGCGGGGGCGTTTTTTGTGGGGTGTTGTTTTTGTTTTGGGGTTTTTTTTGGCTAGGTAAACAGTGGTGGTTCTTTTGTTGCGATCTACATATTTTATTGACAGGTATGATTCTTTAAATGTCATAATTTTAGTAATAGTTTCTGTATTCTTTTCTCTTGAAATTTACTCAAGTCTTAAGTGTAAGCTAAAATGTTAAATTTTACTTTAACAAAGGTGATATATAATATTAACAGTGACAATAACAAGTGTTCATAAAGATTTCAGCAGCAGTACTTAAATTTTATTGCTTTTGAAGAGAATTTCACATTATTTCTTGTTTCTTTGCCAATGTTTAGCTGCTCTGGAGGGGATCTTCACTCGTCTTCTGCAAGCCTCAGATGAGGAAGAAGCTGCAGAAGATGTGATGGGTCTGATCAGGGAGCGATTGTTGAAGTTCCTGGTGGCCAAGCTCAAGCTCTACGGAGACCTGGAGAAGGATGTGGAGGATTATATCATGTTGCAATGTAAAAAGGTGGGTAAGAGCTGATGGCTGTGTTAAGGGTGAAGATACTTTTGGTGTTACTTGGGGGGCTCATTCTTTGGAGTGTTCGTCTCATATGTTATTACCTGCAAAACCAGTGTCTTTGTTTACAGCTTATAGAGCACCATTTCTTTGTTTTAAACAAGGTGTGGTGTCTGTTTATCTATACATATTACATTTGTGAAAGTTCGTCACTTTGACGCCCTAAAACTTCCCAACCACTTAACTCTCGAATTTGAAAATAATTATGGTTCAGAATCATTCAAAGAGTGCACTGTTTTATTGATGAGTTTGCTTTCACTGTGGTTTGATTTTCAGTTTTTCATTAGTTTCGTTTAGATCTAATCTTTTGAAAGTGCGTCTTCTAAGACGCCATTGTAAACAAGTGAGGTTTCCGTTCACTAACCGTGCGCACTGATACCACACCTTTGAAATTCTGGAGTGTACAACAACGAAAGGAGAATAGATACTCAATCTATACATCTCTATTATTTGGCAACTGGAAACTCGTGTGTCACTTTTCTCTCAAGTTGTATTGCTCCGTTCCAGTAGAGTGTAAATATAGTAGGCCAGTGACTTTCAGTTGATGTTAATACACCGATCATTCTTTTCATCGAAAGGGAGCCCAGCTAGTAATGTTATATCATTGGTTGGTACTCTGTGTTTACTTATGGTGTTTTTCTTAATGTTTGACCGTTATTTTTTTCTGGCTAGTTATTGGAAGATGTGACAAAGGATGAGTTCATCGCTGTCATGGACCTTCTGCGTAGCCTCAAGACTATGGCCACAGTCCAGTCCAGACAGCAACTTGTGGAGATGGTCATTGATCAGGCTGCTCTTGATGAACCGTTTGAGGTAGACATAGGATAATCCCTTGCAAAATGTAGCTGTTCTTTATTGTTTTTGCAGCAGGGTAACATGCATTTTGTTTTTGATGATATATGTGTGTGTTATAGTGTCATTTGACTTGAATTTTTCTTCTGTCTTGGGGATATATGGTCCTATTCTGTTGGCTTGAATGTGATTTTGTTTTTGACTCTCTATGATGTGACAAATTTAATAAGAGCAGTCCATTACTTAGTTGAATTATCACTCATTTTGACCTCTTTTATCGGGATTCGTCCTTTACTAGTTATGGCGTGGAATTAAAAAAGTGATTTGTTAAATTTTTGTGTAGGGTTAATATTTCTGTTTAAGCATAAGTATACACTTGCTTGTGATAAGTTTGAGCTGTGATCCTTAACAGCTGTATCTATTTTATTTCTACAGGCCTCAGATCCTGACTGTGTGGACAGACTTCTGCACTGCGTAAAGTCTGCGTCTCCTATGTTCTCGGTGAGATTGTTAACTTCCTGTCTTTGGTGTTTTATCATTTATGAATCAGTGAAATTACTGTCCCTTTAGGGCATTATCTGTTTTGTTTGCTTGGTTGGCTTTGTTTATTTTTTTTTTAATGTTTGATTCAAATCTGCTGCACACTGTTGTTTCTTCCCCAAGACTCAAGGAGCCAGGCCCACCTTGTAATGTAGGCGAGAGTCCTCAGCTGTCTGGTCTAAAGTTACAAAAAGTGAAAACTAGTGAAGACCCCAGGAGTTACAAATAATGGAACCCTGAAATCATACTGAAATTATATTAAAATTTGTTGTGTTTACATCTTCTCCCTACTCCCCACCATGACAGCACACACTCATACCCAAAGATATACTAGAATACAGCTTAGCTGGTTTGGTCATGATGTTGAATCTGTTTCTTGGCCTGAGCATATTGTACGATTTATTATTTTATCATAAGGCAGCAGTTGTAATGGGAAATGATTTGCTTGTGTCATGAAAATAATTTCATTTTTGTTTTGCTTTTTAATTTATGAAATCTTACTCTTCATTTTCTTTTCTTTTCTTTTCCTTTTTCCTCCTCACAGAAAAATGTGCACTCAAAACAGTTTGTGACCTACATGTGTGACAACGTGATTCCAGCCCTGAAGAGTTTAGCCAGTCCTGACGAGGAGACAAACATTCAGTTGGAAGTTCTCAAGACGTTTGCAGAAATCTCAGAGTTTGCTGGGGATCTGGACAAAATTGAAGAGCGCGTCAACATTGTGTTCACAGCACTATTAGTAAGAATGTTTCTTATTTTATCGCATGCTCTGAGCTGTGCAGAAAATAATACCAACATGTTTAGTAAGGATGCTCTCTGTCTGTGCTACTTACAGTTTTCGGAAAGAGGAATATGTGAAGCAGTGTGAGATAATGTGGAATTTTAATCTATGTCCCAGATGAGTTGAGATGGCTTGGGAGCAGTATTAGTCAACCAGGAGGTTCCTTATTGAGAAAAGTAAACAGTTTTTTCGTGGAAGGATTGTGCTTCAGTATTAGCATGCGTGTTGAATGTGATTTTGGAAATCTGGTGAAATTGTAACTTTTTAGAATGACAGTGAAGTATGTGATTTTAAAAACTACTCTGAGATAGTCAAATTTGAAGGCTAGTTTTGCATACGCGTTGTCTGTGCACATCAATGGCTTCTACACAATTAGTATTGGAATTTTTCAAAGGATAACAATGTGGGAAAGTGGGTTGCAATAATGGTGTAACTCTGATTTGTTTTATGAATGCAGGAGTACATGCCCCTACCTCCATCTGAGGAAAAAGAGGAGTCGGCGACGGAAGACCCTAAGTTGAACTTCTCTCAGGTGGAATGCCTCATGTTCGTCTTCCACCAGCTGGGCCGCAAGCATCCCGGATATCTGGCAGATGAAGCAAACGCAGAGAGGTTGAAAGATTTTAGAGTCAGGTGGGTCATCTTTTTTACGTCAGAATTTTTTTCCCCTTGATTTTCAGTTATACAAATGTTTTCATATGAGATTTTCTTGTCTTTCTCTAAATATTTTCCTCTGATATGAATGAGGAAAATTTGTAGATGCCCTGCTTGTGGTGACCTTTCCAGGGTGCCAACTGTACATTTGTGAGGCGTGCTGACAAAATGAGTTGCTTCTCGCAATCCAAGAATAGAGATATCGGACGAAAATCGACACTGGGGTCAAGTTAATAGATTTTCAATTGATGCCATTTTCTTCAAGTTTTCTGTGTCTTTTATTATTCCATACTTACAAATTATACAATCTGACCCTATCAGGGTGTCCAGCAATTTCGTAAAATAAAAGTCGTAAATTCAGCGCCCTGGTAGTAAATGTGGTAAATGGTGTTTAATGTGCCGTGACGGTAAACTCGTAACTTAAGCCTGCATACAGAGCAATGAACCTGGCTGGACTTTTGGTAGTAACAGTATCACAGAGCTCGGATATTTGAAAACCAAATCCAATTAGGTCAGTAAGTTCATTTTTTCCGGTCGCGATTGTGATAATAATCATTCTTTCAGCTGTTCCCTGTCCGAGAGTGCATTTCATGCGTATATGCAGCTATGGTGGCAGGAGGTGGTGTATGTGACACCAAGGCTTGATGGGGAAAATCAAGATCTGCTTTCGTTACCACCCAGAAATTTGCCGTTGATAGTTTGATAACGCAACGTTTTTTACATGCAGGTTGTGCAGTGTAAATGCTGTGTGGCCATGCAAATCAATACTCTAACTCGTCATTGTGCTGTCACTTGTGGGGGCAATAAACACAATGTCGCCGTTCAAATAAAATGTAATAAATACTCTGACTCGTCGCTGTGCTGTCATTTGTGGTAAAGAAGAGAAAAGAAAATACAAGCGGCGTCCGATTTTTAGATTGTCGGGCTCGCTTCTGTGACTGGTCTGTGAACCTGCGCACATTCGCATCACAAGATACGGCATCGTGTGTGTAGATCTATCGGCGGTGGTTGGGTTCGCCAAAATTCGTTCAAAGCTGCGAAGTACAGGACTACGAAATGGGAGAGGGGATTATTGATTTTTTGAAAATAATATACACGGCGGGTGCTGAAGGCAACACTAGAGGACAAAGACTTGGAAGCAAATTTAAGAAGTTTAATCAGATTTAGAGCTCTCCTCTCTGCAGAGCACGCGTTGATGCAGGCCGTGTGTGGAATGGGGATCCTTCATACCTTGTAAGCCGTGTTATTGAACTAAAGTGTATGCGTTTCATTGGATGGGTGATAGTAAATTATAACTTTATTGTAGCTTTCTGTTCGAGAATGGCAGATTTTCAGTGTCATTGCATCTTGCACTCCCTCGGTTGTTACAATTCTCACACTGCATGGGTCTACTTGAGCCATTCAAATTATTGCTCTACTTTGAGTTTGAGCTATAATTGTTTTCTTTCACTTTCGCCTTCATAATATGAATCTTGACACCCACACTGGTTTTTGAAAGTCAATATTCTGGTTCTAGGCCCTTTCGCATGCTCAAAGCAGGATTCCCTTTTTGTGTATAACAGTGAGAGGAAAATAACTGGCTGAAATACTTCAGTCAAACAAGACCCCAGTGCGACACTGACGTGTTGTTGACTGGATATATTGTACATGTGTGTGTTGTTCTGTAACCTCCCCATGGACAATTAAGAAGCCGGTTTGGCAGTCACTCTGTGTATCTAGGTCTAAATCTGGCGGAGAACGAGCGTGCGGTAGACTATCTATCCTCCATTTTGTCAACTGGACTTTATTGTGTGTTATTTTCCTTCCAGTTCCATACACATATGTAATATTATTATGTTATTGATGGTGCATATGGACTCCCTTTTCTGGGCTGGTGTTGGGGTTGATTTGCTGGGTAGTAAAAAAAATTTCAGATTGTAAATTTTCCTTTCGGAAATATTGCTGGACACCGTGCCCTATAAAGTTGATGTATCAATCTCCAAAAGACTGAAATCCGAGAAGTAACTCATTTTGTCAGGACAACTCACATTTATATTTTAATTTCTTCATGCACTTTACTTTATATACAGAGAAATTGTCTTCGTACAAGATGCGTTGGACAATATGATCCATAAAGAATCCCCACTTTTACATATCCATGGGGTCTGAAAAGTTTGGGATTATTTTTATTTTTTTTTCGTAGCTTATTGGCACCTCTACTTTGTCCATAAACTTGTTATTTAATTATTGGGTGTCATGAACTTTAGGGTGGTTGGTAAATGAGAAATTGTCAGGATTGGTCATCTTGTATGTTTTCTATCGTATATTGCATTTCAGCCATTTATGATAAAGTATGACTCATGAACAATAGTATTCTTGAACATTTTTTTGTGTATGTGTCATCAGGCTAAAATTTCGTAATTTAAAAAAAAAATTCTTGAGAATTTGGTATCTGTCCAGTCAGTGATGTTTTTTTTTTTAATGTTTGATATCTATTAGGCTTCAATATCTTGCGAGAGGAAGCCAGATCTGCATTAAGAGACTGAAGGAGGCTTTGGCAGGAAAGACCGGCGATGCACTGAGGACCGATGAGGTAAGACAGGGTTTTTTGCATGAAGACGAGGTGTGGTGACAATTTGATAGCATCTTGCTAGACATCTTTTAAGTTAAAAGTTAGTTTAGGAAATTAACAAGAAGTTGATAAAGTGTAGCATGTGGCAGCAGTAACTATGAGGTTGTTGTCCAAGATTTACAAATTATTCTCTCTTCAGTCACTACGTGTCTAGTGAAGATTTTTTTCCACCTATACCAGTCACTGTGTTTTTTTGTTTGGTAACTTGGCCATTTTGTGAATTCACTAGAACAAGAAGCGTATAGTGGCCCTGAAGCTGTTCACCAACATCACGGTTCTGGTGAAGGACTTGATGCACAACCCACCATCCTACAAGGTGGCTGTCACTCTCTCCTGGAGACCCACCAAGGTGAGCAGTTTTGTCTACAATTAGCTATGGTTAGCTGCCGGAAAGAATTTATACTTTTTTCTAAATGGTTAACTGCCGGAAAGAATTTATACTTTTTCTAAACACCTTTTGTCCTGAAGATTTACTCATAAGGGTGGAAGTATGTAAAATGGTGTATGACGAATGCAGGAGAAAAAAGTAGAGTGTAGTTAATTGCTTCTTTTTTTTTTAAATTCTAAATAGTGTGTTCTGAGGTGCTTTAGTATTCTGTTGTGTTCTGGTGCAGTATATATTTTCTGGTGTAATGGTGGACAGGAGAAGACTTTCACATAGTATTTTTTTCTCAACATGTGTCCACTTTTATTTGTTCTCTTGGGCTTTGTTGGTGTTGTAGAAGGTCATGTCAGAACATTTTAATGTGTTTAATACATCTTCTCTGTCTTTTATGTCCTACTCATCTGCCATTGTTTTATTGCATCGGGCTCATCTGTGTATTTGTTTTAATATATCCAAAATGTTATTGTGCAGCTGGGATTATGAACAATTTAGCGAAAGTACAGTGTAGAGTGGAGGATTTATTTCTCATACATCAATATTGATACTGTTTTCAAAACTTCTGTGCTTTGTCCAGAATATTTCTATTCATGATACAAAATCTCTGAGCAGGTTCATACTTTTTAGGTCAAGAGTTGCTGGTGACTTGAAGCATAACGTTTTTTCAATGTTTTTTGTTTACTTTTACAGGAACTGAAAACTTCGGATCCATCTTCTGACAGTGCAGTGACTTCACCGACCGCTGGGTGAGTATTTAGATGTCTACCAAATTCAAATGACTGTCTGTCTTATTTTGATTTTGCAGGTTTCGAGTGAAGTCTTTCATTGATCTTTCTATAATTTTAGTACTCTTGAGTTTGATTTTTAAGCAAAAACATTGATTTTTAAAAATAATATAAAGATATTTTGACGTATATGGAGGTTCTTCAGGAGTTTGAAATGGGATTTAAGTTGTAGATTCAGCACGAAGTGGCCTTTGTTCTAAATGAGAATAGGATAAAAGTAGCACTGAAAGAAGTTGAAAGATTAGAGCATCCTCCAACAACTTACTTGAAAAAGGATAAGTCATGCATCTGAGAAGGGAGAGGGGGTATTAGTTTGTTGAGGGTTTTTTCTCATCGCCTCATTCTAATCCCTGATTTAAGCTTCCAGAACAGTCGCAAAATAATTTTTATAAGAAATGCAAGAAAGATTTATGGACTTCTTTTTTTCCTCTCCAGACAAAAGCGAAGTATCACCCCAATCACATACGACAGCTCCAATGGTAAAAAGGTCAACCCAAAGCAACCTCGTTCCCTGTACCAACCTCCCAGTGGCAAGTTCAGTGAGAAAGCAGGTTAGTGGATGATTGGATCAAAGTCTTCTGCTATATTTGCTTCCTTTATATTTATGCTGGCATGTGGGAGCAAGTGGTCTATTCGGCCTTGTGTTTCTGTGAAGTTGGTTTGTTTTTTGGGAGCCAAAGACATTTGGTGTAGGTGGTTGGCGGGTGCTCTGGTGTGGTTTGCTTTTCCTTTTTTTTATCAAACATCTGTCCTCCTTATCTCCCCTCCTTCTTTTTCATGTTTGTTACTCTCTTGTAACACCTCTATTCTTCAGGCGCTCATATGATCTTATGCAGTTTTGAGCACCGTAAAACCTCTACTAAAACAAACAGAAGACATTTGGCTTAGATGCCTACTCGCTGTCTTTAAAAATGTGTCGAACACAAGGAAATGTAGTTTCATCAGCAGTGTTCAAGCAGACTTATAAATAAAATTCCCTTTGTCAATAGACCCAGAGTGTGATCTGAAAAGCATTACCATTAGCAGATTTTTATGTATTTACGTGGTAGTTTAATAAATTTTGGCTGTAAACACCTTTGTGACTGAGACTGTATTTAGTACATAATGTATCAGATTTGAAGCCTACAATCCATATTTTGGGGGGTTTTTTATTGTTCGGTCTCTTGTAAACACCTCAGCATGCTGCAGCTGTGCGCTTGGTCTAAGGCCGCTGGCCCCATATTTGCTAGACAGCGCACACATTTCTTGTCCTGGTTCTAGATATCAAAAGAAGTTTTCAGTCTTTAGCTGCAATTTTGCTGTTTACCATCTGTGTCCTCAGTCTGTTGTTTGAAGTTCGCGAAACTGATATTTGTTTTTAGGTTTTTTGTTTGTTTGGTTTGTTTTGTTGTTTTTTTAAGTATGTTGCAGGACAGGTGTATTATCCCAAGTTCTGCTCTTGATTTCACTTTGTTTACTTTATCTTTGTATTTTATTTGTCATTTTCTTATAGCAGATGATTTATGTTGTATGTGTTAGCTAGCACTCTATTAACTCTGCCTCTCTTGTCTTTTTCTGGCACTAGGTGATTGTTCTTGTACTGAGGTGCCTCTCTTTATCTGACGTCCCCCCCTCCCCCCCTTCAGCGGGTGAATCTTGCTGTCTCTATTTGCTTCTTTTTCATTAATAACTTTCATCTTCTCCAGGATCCTACGACAACTACAGCTTCCGCGGGAATCGAGGGGGCGGCTGGCGAGGAGGGTTCAGAGGTAGAGGGCGAGGCCGTGGCAACAGAGGGCGAGGAGCGAGCACAGGCTTCTATCAGAACAGTTTGTGAGAGGAGAAAAGATCAACACAAGACATAACCAACTTATTATTTTTATAACAGGAACATCTGTACCCACCAGATTTAATGCTTTGAAAAGCTGAGAGTTGAAGGCCACTGTTGATTATTTATGGAGCTTATGTCTTCTGGTTGGTGAAATTTTTTGTGAGAACCATTACCAGCTGTTGTGAAATACTTACTGGGACATGATGTTGATGAGAGATGGCAGGGCTAATGGTACTGAATTCCACGTTCAAATGTTGTCGGTTGCAGCTGGTGTCGACGTGTGCTAAATGATTGTGTTCTTCTATTTGCTTAACGAGCTGGTGGGTGTCGTTAGAGGTTCTGTGTAGAAGTCAGTCACGAAATGAAGTGTTGGCAGGTTTTACCAAGTACTACAGCAGCAACACGGCTGGAAAAAAAAAAGTCTTATTTCTTTGTTGTTTTGAAGAAATTGTTGGAAGTCTTTACAAACATTGTTTCTGTCAAAATCAATTTTTTTAAGATTGTCACTCACCAGTGCTCTTCTTGGGGGTATGTTTTGTTTGTCTCTCCCATGAAAGCAGTATCATTTTACAGTCATGAAGTCTTTAAATGCTTGGTTCCTCCATGTGACGGTTCTGTAGCTGTTTGAAAAGTGCATAACCTTTGCAGTTTTGCGAAAGAATTTGAGACCTCACATGTTGATAAAAACAACTCTCCATCTTCATAATTATGCCAAGTCTTATTTTGAATGTAAGATCTCTTGTTCAAAATGTTGACGAGAAAATGTATGTGTACTGCTTTAAAGTATTTGGCCGAGTGGCATCATGTAATTTGATTACTTTCAGCCCTGCAGAAATGTAGAGTGACTTCTACTGATTTTTTTGTTGTTTTTTTTGTTTTGTGTTTTCGCTGTTTCCTGAAATTGTGGACACAATGAAATTGTTGACAAAGTGTTTGTTCCTGGGCTTGAGAGTTTAGAAAAATGTCCAAGAGGAAAGTATAGAGTTGGGTTAGTAGGGGAAAGCCATGGATGGAGGCAGAATACGGATGTGGAGTCATAGTTGGACTAAAGCTGGGACTGATCGCCTAGGACGATGTGGACAGCACGACGGCTTGCCCTGGCCTCTTGTGGCTCGTCCCCTGGTGTCCCCGCAGCCCGCTGTGTGTGTTTGTGCAACTGACAGGGCAGGTAAGGTGTCACTATGCGCACAACCCATTGAACTAAATGTTGATGTTCTGTCTTGTAAAAGAGCTGTCTTTTGTGTTGCAGTACTCACGCTGTTTCAGTCTTGCAAAGTAGTTTGGTTAAACCTTGTTTTGAAGCTTTCGTTTTGTCAAATCTGGAAATCTCCTCTTATAAGCTTAAAAGACTTGAAGTGCTAGAAGTTGAAAAGACATTTTGTTTTTTTACCAAAATTTCTTAAGTCGGCGTGAGTTCTGCAAATGAATTATTATTAGATACTAACGAGACATTGATGTCGGGTCTTTGGTGGAAATTGCTGAACTGAAGATGTCAGAGACAAGAACATTGTCTGTTATGTTCTTAACTGACATAAAAATGAAACACATAAAAGCACTCACTGGCTATCACAACCGTTGATTCTTTTTATAGAAGGTTTGGTTTACAGTACGAAACTTCGAACTAGTGTGAACAAGAAATCTTCCGACTTTCACTGTGAGCAATTTTCACTGACTACTTGCAGTGATTATATTGTCGCCCTTGTGGTAAAACTGGCTGACCTACACAATTTGTTTTTTTGAATTTGACAAATCAGTAGTGAACTATCCATTTCATATGCTCAATCAAAAACAAGTCTGTATTTTGTACAAGAATTGCCCTGAAGCCAAACAACCTGCCAGCCACCAGATTGCTGTGTGATAAAATCCAGATAAGATTTTTGCTTCTCGTGTGAAATTTACTCCCCTGGGTTTAGCCAGTCTTATTGAAAGGGCGGCGATATGATTGTCTTTTACTTTTGCAGTGCAGCTGTTTTGGGCGTTATGGTCGGACTTTGTTCCTCAGTTGTACAGAAAGATCCTGGTTGGTGGATACATTTTCTTTCTTCTCTTGAACCTAGGATGTGCAAGTCTGGTTTTGTTCCATATCCTCTTTGTAATACTGGTTTAGACCAGTCTAGGTTCCACAAAGCAAAAGTAAATTTTCTCTGTGGCAACAGTAGGACTTGAGAACGATTTTGCCTAGGTAAATGTTGATTTTGCAGATGAAAAACTTTCACTAGACACTTTTTTTTTTTTTTTAAATTGAAATGAGGAAATGGTTAATAGGGTATTCTCCAGCCCTGGAATTGATTTGGTCTAAGACATTGGTATAAAATTTCACAATTTTCTGTTACATCTAAATTTAGCTTTCTTTTCTTTTACAGTATGGGTTTACCTTGACGTACATCGTTGTGACAATTCTGCATGCTGAAAGTAGTGTCTGTATCACCGGCCAACTGATCAGATGTTCTAAGCCCATAATTTTTAAATTGCCGTTTCTGAATTTGTAGACTGGGTTGCACTTGCTAAAAAATATTGTCCAAATTCAAATTCTAGATTTTGAAAAAAAATATCAAGAAAAAATACACCACACAAGTGCATTTTTTAAGTTAATGGAAAAAATTTCTTTTTTCTGGAAAATTTTGCTTTCTGGGCTTAGTACATTTGAACAGCTTGTTGGTAAATATTCTTCAGTTGGTCATGTGTTTGGTGCTTTGGTGTGGTCTGCTCCTTTGATTTCTCTACAGTGTTGCTGTTCTTATGTGTTCCAGGGGAATTTAGCAGTTGTGCTGACTGGCAGCCGAATACAACTAAATTATTGTCTGTTCTTCTTCCATTTTTACTTTGCTGTTAATTGTACCTGGGTTTTTTATTTTTTTATTTTTTTTATTCAAGCAAGTTCAGAAAGAAAGCAAAGTTGGGAGAGTCCAAATTCTTCCGCCATGTTACGGGAGAAAGATCACCATTGCAGAATAACAAATTAAATCACTTCATTTTTTATTTCAGCAGGTGTTTCCTTCTATCAAAAATGTAATAATTAATGAACATCCTATACTGGTACCATTTTGTTTTGTTTTTTCCCCAGCTCTAGCTATAAGAGGAAAAATCCAGTGCTTCAGTAAATGTTTTTGTTTATAGTGGACTTTGCTGATAAGATGATGTTAAAGAGACACCGATACGCATATTTTTTACAACAACAAAAAAAGTATTGTTAGTATTGTGCTTTGTCACTGGTAAACCATTTTGTCAGGCTGTGGTGAAAAACGGCATCATTGTGTTGGAAGATGGTTTTTCAAAAATCATTTTCAGCTTAGTCCTCTGTATCCCAACTCTACTAATTTTCTCTTACATTTTTTCAGGGTCATCATTGACTGTGCCCTAACAGTGAAGACTTTTTGAGTAGTGTTGTAGAATATGTATAAGTCTCACCACCGTGTGTTACTTACTACCTGTCAAATGTGCCCTTCATCGAATGTTGTATGTGTACGGAAGTGAAGTTTTTGTCTTTTTCCACAGACACTGAGCGTTTTGTGGACCTTACTGTTTACATTTTGTTATTGGTCATTCATCAGTTTCTCTTACAGGTCTCTACATTTTGTTATTGGTCATTCATCAGTTTCTCTTACAGGTCTCCGGCCCACTACTGGATGGGGTGGGATAGAGGGAGGTTTGATTTTGAGCAGCAAAACTGAACTGATTTGAAATAAACTTTTTGTGTCTCATGAAATATGTAGAGTTTTATTTTGGTTTGTCCTCTCAGTTGAGTGCATTGTGTGTGATCTTAGATTAGAGGTTCTTGTTTTTGTTTTCTCTCTCTCTACATCTCTCTCTGTCTGTTTCTCTGTACATCTCTCTTTCTCTCTCTTTTCTGCTCTCTCTTTGTCTATCCTCTTCCTCTTTCCCTCTCTCTGTATGTGTATTGGCATTCAGATTGGTGATTTCATGAAATAGTAAACCAGTTGGCTGGAGGTCAAACTTCATCCGTATTAACTGCGCACAATATTAGTATTAGAGAACTCTGAATCAGAGGAGCCTCCACAAAATTACTGTATTATACATTAAGGGATGGTAAAAACCATACAAGAGTCTGTGGTGTAAGTGTAATAGTTAAGTAGTGGACACTTGACCTTGCTTATGAATTTTATTCACGCATGCGGTGGAGTTCCATCAAATATCTCAACTTTCTGTTGGGTGGTTGGGTTTTTTTTTCACTTTCTGCCATGGTTGGCCTTTTCCCCCTTGAGACTTTTTTTTATGACCAGATCACCTGGAGCTTGCTAGTTAAAGAATCAGTTTTGTCATTATAGCATGAATGGAAAATTACAGCTACAAGAGTCTAAGGGGGTGAGTTACAGAATTAGAAAAGCATGAATTCTGCCCTCAGAATACTTTTCTTCCTTGGATCACAGTTTTTCGTGGTTGCGAGAACTTCCCAAAGTCCGCTCTATGGTCTTAACTGCACCGGTGGTTGTTCCGCCCTGGCCCTAAGTCGGGCCGCGGTAGGCCTTGAGTAGCCTGATATTATCAGTATCAGTGATAATTTATGGAATTCTTTGGGACCCCATGGATTATATTTATGTTTGTGTACCTGGGAAAGCCAAGATCAGACAGACATCAAAACTTAAGCTAGAAGCATATGAGGTCAAAGTCTATCAATCCAGCAGGAGATGGAATTAAGTGAAATTTGTCTATATTTTAGTCTATTTTGCATTTTTTTAAACTGATGGGGTGCACAGTGGAAGACTATCGGATCGACCATCAAATTCTGGGGGGTTGGCGAAATATTTCACTGTGCTCTGTTCTTGGTATTCCTCATCTGCCCTTTTAAAATACCGTTGACACTTATTTGTTGGAATATTCACTCAATCACTGACACTTTGAACTAATTTCAACAGTCTCTCCCCTCAGAGCGTACCGTTGTTTGTGCGAAGATGAAAATAGGCTTTGATTCAGTAAGAAGATAACTTTTTGAGACTACAGAGTAAAGTTGCTATGAGCTTCATAAGCAAGGGCTATGGATGAAAGAACCAGCTCACCCTCTGCCTCAGTCATAAGGATGAAGTTATGACACAAATTTTAAATTATATCAAAACATTTGACAGACACAACGAAACATTTGTTGAAGTTTTATTGTGGTTTATTGCCATGGTGTGTCTTCTATATCATCTATTTCATAACTGTTGCTGGCACTGCACGCGTGCTGTTTCACACACTGCAGAACTAGGACAACCAACACAGAACACATTGCTGTAGTAAGGCTGAAAATATACTGCCACGCACAACTGAAGTGCGCCGCAAAAAAAGTCGGGCCCTCCTCTTTATTTCCTATCTGTGATTTCACTGACACGACAAGGCTTGAGGAGTTTGGAAGACCCAAAAAGACGTGCCTGTGTGCAGCATTTCTTTTTCGCGCGCGGACAGGCTCGCCCAGCTATCGGAATGTTCCGCGATGCTGTGGAGATAAAACAAGGGGGGGGGGGACCACTGAGCTATATACGCCTGCTCAGTGCCATGTTTTTTACAGTCGGACGGAGTCGCGCTAACCTGTGGGATCGCCACTTTAGACCTAGCTGCTCGTCTGTAGTTTTGCGGTGCACTTCAGTTGTGCGTGCCAGTATATTTTGAGCCTAAGAGCTTTTTTTTTGTGCTGTTTCACACGAAGCAGATCTAAGACTTAGACATACAACACAGAACATCATTGTGAGAGATTTTTGTGCCGTTTCATAGCAAATCTATGACTAACAGCACAGAACTGGAACACTCTTAATATTGTCATGTGTTGTGAGAGTTCGCTGACTGCTCAGCCTAAGAAGCCTCTGTCACATGTCACTTTTCAAAATAACGTTTGGTGAAGTCTTACACTTACACTAAGCAGTCAATATGTTTTTGGTGCAATGTCCCTGCTGTATTGAGAATTGCAAAGGGCATATTTTTTCAAGAGAAAGAAAAAAAAATGGGACTTATTCTGTCACTTCCTTCAACTATTGAAGGCAGTGTGAATACAATTCAGGCACTTCACTTTTTCATTTAGAGAGAAGCTATCTGAATCTGATGTTAACGTATATAATGATCTTTTTTTGACTAGATTTCCCTTAAATTCTCAGGGACCAGATCTCCGACATAATCACAATTCCCCCCAGATCTGTTGACATGGTAAATCACGGGTGACCGTTGAGACAGAACATTACAATAATTATTTGTACCCACCCTGGTAACAGAACAGTGAAAAGTCTTCATGATTATCAACTTTCACTGTGGATGTCAAAGTCTGATACAATTGCACAAAGTTACAAAGAGAATGTTTCAGGGTTTGAAAATGGAAGACAAATATCACCAAGCTACATCCATTAAAGATCTATGTATCCCAGTTGCATGCATTTTGCCTGACTTTTAACTTGAAATATAACACCCCTATTTTTATTTCCTTTCAGAATTAAAGACATACACATTGACAAATTGAAAGCTATGATGTGACCTTAACAAGAAGTCTGTTTCACGTTCCATTGAAATCAATGCAAGATAACACACGTATTGTAAAGAAATGTTTGCACCATGTGATAGGTTAACACATTTCCAAGGCTTAAAAAACCTTGACATTTTTACTTTTTACATTCACTCCTTGACTTGTAATACTACTATGCTATACTGACACCTTGTGGTTACGACCAAATTGAGCTGAAAACAACAGAAAAAGAAACTGCAAAATCTCTGTTTAAAAACATACAAAGTACAGTGTAGCTTGTACATATTGAATATTGTGAACAGATTTTCATGTATGACACGTACTTAGCAAAATTCATATATTACAGAAAGACTTTTTCACTAAGTGTGTGCTTGACCAGTTGCAGTCAAGTAGGCTACTGAAAGCTAATTTTGTTTAGAGTAATAAATGAGTAGCCTATTTTTAATTTTCAAAGCAAAAGTTTTTCAGAATGTAGATCAGAAGAACATGATTTAGGCCTACAGATATAATAGAGTCTGAAATCTGAATCAAAATGTGTAGACTTTGACCATTTTGTTGTTCTACTCTAGTCTGTTTTTCCAGCCCCATTTCGACTGGCGGTAAAAGGTACAGATGAAATATGTCCCAGTGTATACATGAAATTAAACAACAGTTAGACTATTCTACCAGATGAATTAATTGCATTGTAAATTGTAGAACAGAACTCCCTTCTGTTGAGAGACGAAAGGTGTCCATATGCCTGACAATTATTTTGATCCTGCTCCTTCTCGAAGAACTAGGTTGTCTCTCAATGTGAGAATATATATATATTATATATACTAATACTTGGTATCTATACTATACATGCATACATGTGTGAATATATTTACGCTATATTGTACTGGCTTCGAAGGTAATGAAAAATATGCACTTAGCTGAAGCTGGCAACTTGCCCTTTGTTTTTGATAAACAAAAAGATATAAACATCCTGGTATGAATGATCCCCAAAAGCAGATTTTTGCACAACACTTTTCTCACATGTTTTAATAAACATCCCATACATGATATGTGTTTCTGCTGTCTTCATGTATATCAAGGTTTGTAGAAAAATTAGAATGGACATGCTAAAACTCTGGATCTATAACAACAAACTTTCATAATTATTACTATTTAGAATTAAGTTTGATGGACAATTTGACTTGGCTCTGTGGCTGTAGTGTAGTGGTAGTTGCCGTATGCAAGACATGAGTTTTTTATTGAAAAATATCAAGAACTTAGCAAAATGCAAAACTTTTGGCTTGAGACAGAGTAAAAAGTAAAGTAAACAGGTAGGAATGCAGACAGTAGAAAACATTTTTCTTTGTAATATAAACTGTTGAAAACTTTCCACTCCTTGGATGATTGGTATACATGTAATAATTAAACCAAGGAACTATACAAAGCCAGTGCTCTTCAAAACAATTATTAATTTACTTTCTCCACTCTAAGTCTAAGGCCTGTTTTACACAGACCACTGCTGCTAACAGTATCGGTCACCAGTATATGCTTTGGTTACATTCATAAGATAAGATAATACTTTATTAAATTTCCAAAGGGTACAATAAAGTATTATCTTATCTTATGTAGTTTTATGTGAGGCTGAAAAAAATGAAATGCATGTACCTCTGCCACCCAACTCCCTAAGAAATACACTGACTTTTAATCTTCCACTTCTGAATCGCCACATATCTCTCAAATCCAAATAGATTTTCCTTCACCAGTTACTCATTCATCCTCTTTTCATTTTATAATAACTTCTTTCATACTTGGGGGGAACCTCTAAGTCTCGGCCGTTTAAAATCACAGTCCATTAACTCTTCGTTTACGGAAGGCAATCATCAGTTTTCAGCATCCAAAACTTTCCTATAACTCCGCTCATGCCTGTATGCTTAAAATAAACATCCGTTGAGAAGAAACGAAGGATCCAAGCAGTAAACAAAAAGTTTGATCTCAGATAAAATGAATTTTCTGAGTTTAGGTAGATTTTTGTTTTGAATGTGAACAACCTTGTGATGCTGTGAGTCAGCTGAACTGGCGTGCCGTATACAAAGAGTTAAGGTACTACTATCAGACATCTGATTTGTTCAATATAAAGTATAAAGAAATGCTGACTGGTAGTAATGGTAGACTAAAGAAAACACAAATTAAGAAATATATTCATGTGAGCTATAAAATACATATCAAATACATGTAAGCAGGATGTAAGAGCTTTAAACATCTGAAACTCAATCAAAAGGCTTCAGTTCAACTGTTGTGGTAGATATAGCCGTTTCACTCTGGGCCTGAGAGCCATGAAATAAATATGGCCACCATGGAAAACAGTGGCAATGATAGGCAAATTAACATAATGAACAGAAATTGATATTGGTTGAATGGAAACAGGGCAAGACAACTACTCCAGCAAGATTCAATGTTTTTATTCTTACACTACTTACAGCTACACATGAATTGTTTGCATCTGAATATTTCTACTAAACAGTAATAGGTTTTATGTTTCTTTTCTTTTTTTCTTTCCTTTTTGGGGGGGACGGGGGTTAGTACTAATAAGAAGCTTCTTTGCTTTTAATACTGTTTTTACCCATGTTGAAATGAGACAAGATCAGCACCTGCAGGTCAGTCACCCTAGCATAGCTAATATTTACAACATATGACCCATGACATGTATATAGGCCTCATAAAAACAATTCAAAGTCTACTTTCCAACAGACCAGAATCAACCCAGCTTCATCTAATTATGAGGTGAACATTGTGTCCCTGATCCAATTGACACTCTGTTAACATAAAACACAAAGCTCACATTAATTAAAGACAGTTCGCAGAAGCACATTTTGAGATATGTAATTCTGAGACATTTAGTTCCACTACTGGCAAGACATATGAGAACATAAACTGAACACCAACCAATACTTTGCAACAAGTAGAAGACAAAATGATCAACCAACTTGAAGCTAATCCTGCAGAGAGTTCTCTTGAATCAGTTAGGCTACATTACATGTACACGTTTACAGCTTGTTACACCATACACAGACCGCTTTTTGTGAAAAAATTATATAGGCTCTTAACTTTTCCACACTGAAAACATGAGTTTAATCCATAGTGTGGGCCAGTTGATGTTATCGAACAACTCGTTCTTTCTTCTACTTCTAGATTGAAGTGTCTCCACTCTAACAGGCAGGGTCAAAGTCAAAGCAGCCAATGAATCCTAAATTATCTTTGGGTTGATTGCAGCATTTCCTGTAAAAATCAAACTCAATTGTCAAAGGAGACATTTTGGCAGAGAGAAGATGACTAAGGCATAGTTGTACTAGATAGGAAAATAACTGAAATAATAAAGACTGAATAAGTTTGATTAACTGTCACTTTCATTATCATGAATAAAATTCCTCAAAAAACAGGAATTTCAGTACCAAAAATCAATTTACATTTTAAAAAATACATGTTTCAATATATGACACTGAAAGTATAAATCATAGAAACTAAATCATAATAAATGTATACATTACATTTGATACAACCAGGCACAGAATTTGAGCGAATTAAATACATTAAAATTTCATCAAGCTTTTTTCTTATGAAATGTATTAGTATTGTAGATGATTCATGACAAAGGCAAGTTTCCCATTACTATAAAACACATTTAGGGAAACCGTAATAAAAAGTTGGACATACAGATAAATGTTTGAGCGTCAGAGCTGCAGTTTAAAAAAAAAAAAAAAAAAAGAAATTCTCATATCATACAGAAGCAGAGTCAATACAAAATGTTTGGCATTTATTAATATCGGTGTAATAAAAAACAGGAAAGTGCTGCTGACTCTGATCACTGATACAAAGCTCAGCTCAGAACCATCATTTTTTTCAAAATAGAAAGCGAAAATAACATTGGTAAAATCAGCTGTTATGTTTGTACATTAAAATTAGTAGCATTGTATGACATATAATATACATATAAATCTGTCTAAAAGCACTTACTTTTATGAAAGTACAATGTAAAACAATATATATATATATATGTAAATATATACTTTCATCCAATGTAAGGTTAATTTTAATCGTTTGGTTTGGACCTACATTTTTTATAGGCGACATGAGGTACTGTAGCCCAATATAGAGCTCTCTTGACTTATTAAGACATTCCTGCCAATGTCAATAAATTATGTCCCCAGATCTCAACCTTTAGAAATTCAAACACCCCGAAAGGGCCGGAGAAGATTAACTGTCCGCTGTCCAACCAATAGGGGCCGCAGCTCCCCCTCTGGTGGGGTGTCGCATATTTGCCACAGCCTCTCCGGTGTAGGATTGGTTTTCCGTATTTGAACTCGCTGTCTTCCAACTGGCTCTTTTGTTATCAGCATCTGTGGTGCAATTAGAGATGCCAACCTAAGATGAAAGCTCTTTGTGAGATCCAAGTAAATTTTTGTGAGATTGAGATTTGAATCTTTTTAGTGAGACTTCGTAACGGACAGTAATATGACATTCAATAAACCCAAAAATCAAACAAGACGAGTCTGGGGTAATGATGCAAAAATGCCTCAACACTCGGAAAAAGAGAAGAGCCAAATACATAATGGCAGATCAAAACTTTGGCGGAAATGGAAGCGGTTTGCAATGATCAGTCTTTGTGACTATTACGACCGGTGTCCTAGTAACTTTTATTCCAAATAAGATTCAACTTAATCCGACCATGAAAATTTGTGAGACTACACAGACACGGAGGCATGAGCCTGGTCGTGTTTTCGTGAGTCTCACAATAAAATCATGAGGGTTGACATCTCTGAGCAATGGTTAGGCTCTGCATCTTCAATGCAAAAGATGCAAGATCAATTCTCAGTTGGGGAAGACATTTGATCAACTATATCCTGTCTTTCTGATGCTGGCATGTATACGGCAAAACCATGATAACATAAACGTCACAGGGACCTGAAAATGTCTTTGTGTTAGTTCCGCTACTGGCAAGACACATGAGAACATAAACTGAATACCAACCAATACTTTGCAACAAGTAGAAGACAAAATGATCAACCAACTTGAAGCTAATCCTGCTGAGAGTTCTCTAGAATTAGTTAGGCTACATTACATGTTTACAGCTTGTTACACCATACACAGATCTTGTTTTAAGGAAAGTTGCAATGCACAGAATAAAGATAGAAGAAACAGAAATCGGAAATCTTTTTGTGGGGCGAGTTAAACAGAGTCTACTATAGGGAATGAATGTGGAGCACCTTAGGTTTGTGTTGGCATTGACAGGCAGAGTCTAAGCAGCTCACCTCTTAAAAGGATCTACATATTGTGTTGATGCGGACAAAAAGCATTTACAACCATTTTTACAAAGCCCAGTATTACTCTGTTCTGCTGTAACATAAGGTACTGTCGAACCAAAATAACAAAATCCCAAACCCCACAGTTAAACATGGCACATTTTTTCAAAATAAGTTTTTTCTATATATTTTTTTTTTTTTTTAAGGAAGGAGCGACCCTCAATGTCTATTTTCTATGTTTGTTGCCCGAGATCAAATCTAAGTACACATATAAGTTGGGCAAAGAAAAATCTCTTGATATGTACTTTTATTATTGCATTGCTACATCAGTTGCTTTGGAAACGGCTGCCATCTTACAAATAAACAATGAAATTCAAATCCTTTAGGCTATCTTATTTACTGATCAAATTTGATGAGAGTATACCTGAACCAGTCCCTATCAACATACAGTCAAACCTGTGTAAGACGGCCTCCCATTGTCAAGGAGAAAAGTGGCCATATAAGACAGGTGGCCGTTTTAGGCAGGACTGATCAAGATAAAGAAAACAAACCATTCCCATCTGAGGCCCCAATCGAAAGTAGCCCCATAATGTCTTTGTTGGTGTTGTTGTTGTTGGTTTGTATTTCGTTTGTAATTTTTATTTTGTCGCTGATTTTGCACAAGGATGACAATAAAACGAAATGTATAAGACAAGGAAGACCGAGTGCCATGTTAAAACAAATACATGGGTCGGAGAACGACGCTTCTGTAACAAGTTCATGTTGACGTCCCCTGTTAGTGTTACTTTGTTACAGACTGGGTAAACAGTGACCACTCATCTCACTTACGATTTGTGTATGAGTTCTGGGCGGGGCTTATGGGTTATGAGGGATCATACGCTTACCTCACCAGCAGCTGGAAATTGGTAGCTATTGGTCAACAGTGGGAGGGGCCTACGCAACATGATCGGTTGGAGGGACTACCTAACAAAAACGACTGGTGATTGAATTATGACGGCTCGCCCACAACGCCAGGGGCCAATGCACAATTTATGACAAAATGTAATGGAGTCACTAAGGTGACCGTCTTAGACAGGTATTATTGCTTAGTATGATAGGGGTTGTGTGTTAAATTATGGTGGCCGCGGCCGCGTTGGACAGGTGCCCGTTTTACACAGTTACATTATATAGAAAAAACGCAAGGGGGGAAATGGAAAGTGGCCGTTTGTACAGGTGGCCGTCTTATAGAGGTGACCGTCAGGGCAGGTTCGACTGTAACTGCGAGTTTTTTTTCAATAAGTGTAAAAGAAAATAAATATGAGGATTTTCCCAATAGGCTATATATATAAACCTTTTCTAAACTTTGCATAATTGCTTGCCAATGGAAAAGTGTTATTTTTTTCGCAAATATCTCTCTGTTACATTGATGGCAGCCTTGCAATCTATGTTTCCTGAAAGTTTCATGTCAAAACGATGAAACTAAGGAAGGAGTAGGGGAAAAAACTGCAACAAAAAAAAAGACGTTTTGAGAAAAACGACAATTATTGAGAAAATTCACTATATTTTAACCCATCCTCATGTTTTCAAAGGCAATTTACGACGAGAATAAGGACTTTCTTAATTGTCTCCTTGCTATTTTTAGACAAAGAACTGTTTGATGTTAAAAAATTAGCCAAATTCTCAGTTTGCATAGCTTGACCCAAAATCTGAATTATATAATTGTTTAAAGGCTGAATTTTACTTTTTCAACGAGAAAAAAGGCAGATAAGAAGTCAAACTGACCCTAGTGACCTATCTTGATCTCCAGGGTATAGCAAGAATATAATATGCAACAAGATAGGCATTCAGCAAATATGTATATCACATACCAGTATCTATACTTTTTAGATAAGACTAAATGCAGGCTATAGTGATCAGCAACAAAATCACAGATCAAAATCACATGGTTGAACTACCAATGGCAGGCAGTACCGTGAGCGGTGAGGTAATGGAGAGAGGCGATCGCTCTGAAATCGGTGACCGTGACCAGTTGGCAGGGCTGCTGCGGCGGGATCCTGATGCCAAGGTCAAGGCTGAGTGGGGTGCATCACCTCTCGGGCCAGACATTGGCTTGACCCTCTTTGTAATGGCTCTGATGAGGTCACGAGAGTGCTTGAGGCTGTAAGCTGTGAGGAGGGAATTGTAACAAAAGAAGAGGGCATTAACAATTGCTCCACATTAACTTTAAGTAACTGATTCAGCCGACAGCGCTGCTCACAGCAGCTGACTGTCGTCTGGATTTTGAAGCAGAGCCACTCAGAGCGGCTGTTAAATATAGCTCCATTTTCTTCACATCACTTTCCTCTCTTCTTTTTTTCTCACCACTTACATTTCAACCCTTTTTTCTGGTGTCATTGAATGGTATTTTTTATTCTGAAGATCTATATGCCACACATAGGCTAAACACTTTTTTCAAAACTAGGTGAGCAGACAGAACTTTGTAATTCTTGGGTAGCGATATGTCAAAGGACAAAATAGATGGTACTTTAAAAAAAAAAAGACCATACAATTTTTTGTCCAGCTGCATATATGACAGTACGAAATGACCACTTTCCACTAAAACAATTCAAACATAGACCTCGCGAGTATTTTAAAAAACACCCACTAACCTTTCAGTCTGGCAGTGATCTCATCAGAGAAATATCCTGAGTGAATCCACTCCTCAAAGTCTATGATGTGGTCAAACGCTGTGAGCCCTGGGGACATAGCAGCAAAATAAAGAGCATTATTATTTTCCTTTGGAAAATTTGATTTAAAAAACGTCACGGTTCAGAAGATTTGTCAGATCCTGAAAGTAAAACAGGACTTACAATGATGCTCTTGTTTCAGTTTTAGTAAGTGTTTTACAGCACAATTAGGTCATATAAGTGCCGAAAATTAGAGGTGCTATAAGACAGTAACAAAAACAAAAAAAGGAGGAGAGATGATGATAGAAAGTGTTTGATAAGAACGAAAGAGCAAACCACACCAGAGCACCCGCCAACCACCCACAAAGCTGCTCTTCTTTACTTCATCAATCTTTATGTCTCTGCATGGTCAAGTGACTGTGGGGTGCTGAAACATCCAACAGACTTTGTTTAAAAATTAGACGGTAGGTTGTCAGTGCTCACCATGAATATGGGTGCTCCATTAGCTCAGTTGGTACCATGATGGACTATGGAGCTGATGGCCCTGGTTTGAGTCCCAGACTGGGCATTTTTAAACTCATGTCTTTTCGGGGACTTTTCAAGGCTCTCTACCCATTTGTCTTTGTCCTATTGGAGACTAATGTTAAATTTAGAGGTTCCCTCCTCTTAATAAATCATGTAACAGTGTTGATAGGGGAGACAAACCCATTACTTCCACTCACCATGAATGTTCTTCTGCCGCACATTGGCACCGTTGTTGATGAGGACACAAGCAGCGTACTGGTTGTTGGCTTGACAGGCAAACATGAGCGGAGAACTTCCGTCGTTATTGAGCACGTCAACCTCTGCCTCATAGGACAGCAGAAGTTCAAGCACATCTGTGCTGCCGCTTAGACTGGCCGCATAGTGCAGTGAGCTGAAGAGAGACAACCATTGGCATGAGGTACAGTCGAACTTGCTTCTCACTTCCCCCCTTACATTTTTCTATATAAGAGTATAAAGGGGTGAGATGCAAAACCCGCTCAGTGACATTTTTGAAAAAATCGAGTTTTTGCTTATAAATGCACATGTTACCGGCTATCAGATGCACAAAGTGTTTTCGACCAAAACCAAATACATGCTTCATAAAAGCCACCCCAAGAATCTTCTTTTTACTCATGTTCATGCATATACCAGCATTAAAAAAGCTGATTTGTTCAAAAGTGCTAAAATGGAGGTAACGGGTTTTGCATCTCAGCCCCTCATATTGTAATCACACTGCCCAAAATATCAACCTGTCAAAAAAAAACTCTTTTCTCCTTACAAATGGGTCGCCATCTTGGACAATTTTAACTGTAGTTCATAACAGAAAGTTACGCTCAAATTCAATTACACTTTGTATGTTTGATACTTATTTTGAAAAGCTGTACAATTCTTTGGAAAATTGTCCCAAACTTTACATACTTTTTTTAAAACAGTGGTCGTTCAATTTTTGTTTACCCCATATTCTGGGCACGGGGCAGGATGAACAAAAAAGATATCACCACAGTTTTAGGAAAATGGAACCATGTTAGTTATTAGTCTAAAGACAAGGTTTTCCTTCTTTCAGCAGCTTTTTTTCTACTAATTTGGCTGTTTTGAGTATTTGTTGGAGAAAAACGCTGTCAAAAAATCTTTAAAACTGTTTGATAATTCAATATATGTGAGGCAGCATGGTGAAATCAGGCACTTGTCAAAATGATGAAATCAGAGAAATCAGCATTTTTCCGCCGCTATTGCAATTTTTTTCAATTTTTTGCTTTTTTTTTTTGGGGGGGGGGGGGTTCAACGGCTTTTATATCTATTGAAAAACACATTTCTGTGAAGACTTCAATGAAAGAGTTGATAAAGGCACAAAAAATGTAAATTATTTGTTTCCATGGTCTCTCAAGCTATAAAAAAGACACAAGACTTTGGCGGCCATTATCTCGCTAATTTTATCTCTAAAATCAGGCGACCCTACCTCCTTCGAGTGCAAATATCTCGACTTGTATTCAAGATAGAAGGGTAATTTTTTTTTTATCACAAGCAAGAAGACAAATGAACAAGCTTTATAATGATACCAATAACTCCATATACCCAAAATTTTACGAGCGCCTGATTCCATCACATTGCAACACATATCATGACAATGAATGCAGAATGAGACTAGACCTAAAACAGTTTTCATACAGCAAATACTAAATAACCATGGGTTTTAACCACAGAAAATTAATTTAAAAAGGAGTCTAGCAGAGGCTACAACTCATAGACTTTTTTATATGCCTCTTTTCATAAAGTTTTACGTCATACCTGTTTCCACCAGGATATATCGGGTTAGGGTCAGCTCCATTGTGAAGGAGAAAGTCCACAGCTAGGGCCCTGTCAGAGCTGGAAATGATTGGAAAATATTAAGAGAGTCAAAATATGTTGTACTTTTACACCAATAAAGTAACTGCCACAGACGCATTTTTTACACATGGCATAAGGGAGACGAATAAAAACACAGCTACTACAGGGGTCATAACAACAAAAATGATGTAACATGTGCATGAGTGGTGCAAACTTTTTTTGTCAACATTTGTGTCAATATCTCTGGTTTTCTCTCTTATTCTGAGCTTAACAACTTTGTTACTTTAACGCTACAAGCACAAGTTAACTGTACTGGTCATCCACTGTGGGACATAGACTCGAGTCACGGATTCTTTAAGTTCTAAGAAACAATTTTTACCCTCAGAGAGTACAGCAAAATCTGATAAAGTTGATAATGGATTGTAGCACTCATTGCTGATGATGGAGGCCAGGCAAACAGGCCAAGTATATATATGGAGCAGCATATTTCACAGGAGAGAAAAAAAATGTTAGATTCTATCAAACTTTACCAATTACGTGAAGAAATTTGAGAGCTTTGGGGTTGGGAAGTAAGGCGATAGGTAAGATCAACACTTGTACAGATGATTTAAACTGGTGCAACCACCAAAATGTAGTGATGGTAAGCCGCCTAAATCGTTGAACACATCCTCCAGCAGTGCAGGACAAACAGAGCCCTAAGACATGAAACAGGGTCAGCCTTTATTAACGCTACTGGAGAAGTTGTGAGCGGGAAAACAGAAGAGCCATGCAGGACGGCCCAATATATGATAGAAATGTTTTTATGTTTCGGTTAGAGTTTTACAGCATTTGCAACACAAATAGGTCATATATTTAAGCGCTGAAGATAAGAGCTGTTATAAGAGAGTAACAAACACAAAAAAAAAGAAGGAGGGATAAAGACGATAGATGTTTGATAGGAAAGAAGGAGCAAACCATTCCAGAGCACCCGCCAACGACCGACCTACAAGAAAGATACTAATGTGATTGAGATGAAGGAGGAAGAGAAGGGGGCAGCAAAGGAGGAGAAAAAGAAGGAAGGCCCTTACACTTTGATCTGTTCGGTGAGAAGTCTTCTCAATAAGATATCCACTTCCTTGTCCTTGAAGTGAAACCCTTTGTTGATCATCCTGGGGATGTACAAAGAAAAAAGGTTTAACTCACTTGAGCCTATTCCCAAGTAGGCTACCTGCTGGCTCGGTGGCCTAATCCAGTTTTACGGGAAGCACTTTATCTATCGATATCTCTGATGTTTATTTGTTACAAACTACCGGAAGTGGCGAGCCAACAGTCGACCCACTTGTTGCGCTTGGTTAAAAATTTGGTGAAGTTAGGTGCAACGCTTTTTTAGCTGTAACAAACTAAGTCAGTCCCCCCTGCATTGCGATAGATGATTTTATCATAAATTAGGTGCAAAAAAAAATTGTTTAACCCCCAGACATTGCCATTTCAAAATATTGATAAAATAAAAACTATTCTGAAAAATTAGATGCAGTTTTCATTTCTGTGAGAGCATTTCTTTCTTTCTCTTCTTGAATTTTTAAAAAATCACAATAGCTCCCACAGTGTTTTGTGGTTAACCCTTCAATATACCCCAAAAACGTCAGGCTGCAATGATTGTTGGGTGAAAAATAGCTCAGGCTCAAGTGAGTTAATTCTCTTGATAGTGAAAGTGAAGACTTGGAAAAGTTACAGATTGACCATATATGGTGAATTTTTTAAGACAAATATATTGGTACACAGAGAGAGAAATTGCAGTGCACTATGAATGAAAAATAGTTATGCACAAACCCCTAAGGTAATCATCTTCCTCATTATTATCATCATTATCATCATTACTATTATCATCATTATCATCACCATGCATCACTGTTATCATTTTATTCATTTATCATCATCACTGTCATCATCTTATCATTATCCTCACTGTCATCATTTATATCATTTTCATCAACTTCATCATCAAGTCTCCATCCAGCCTTTCCATCAACACTTCCCTTCTCAGTTTTACAAGTGTCTCATATGTTCCTGACAAGAATTTTTTTAAATACCTTTTCTTTTCTTTTCAAAGTGCGTATGAGATGAATATTGTGACATTATGGATGACCTCTGCATTAAAGATTATCGCATAATACTAGGACAAGTTAAATCATGTCTGAATGCTTTTCACATGTGAAATTGTAACCAACTATTTCCAAAAAGAATAAACAAAGTCACATTTTCTTGTCTTTTGTAAGTGAACTACCAGAAAAACTGAAAGAAAAGATAAGTTAAAGTTTCCTTTAACGAAATCAATCTTTTACCGTTATACACATAGACACATAAATTGTATAAATCACCTTATTTATACAAAAGAACACAAAGCCCTGTTTCTAAGTCAACACTAAAGTATCCAGTAACAGGACACACCCAGATACATTGATTGACGTGATACTGAATGAGGTTAGGCTATCAGATTTGTAATCCTGAGGATTGGGCATTCAGAGTTTGGAGGCTCAGCTTGGTCCAACATTTGTCCTTGGGAAAGGCACAAGACACTTCTACACAATTTTTCTAATGTGGCTCAGTTCTATTGAAGACGAACATTAAGTCCGGAGGTCAGACCAATTAAATAATTTTATAGTATAGTATTGCAAGGGGCATTAAACCTATATAATTTCACACATTTTTTCTATGAGACATCTGGCCCTGCTACTAAAAAGGGGTCACTTTAAGTGAAAAACAAAAGCCACAAACCATTCGGCACAGGACAAAAAGTCGTTGGCCAGTGCCAGGTGCAGCAGGCTGGGTGGGTTCCTGTCTGACTCGTTGTTGAGAGACTTGAGGATCGAGTCCCCTTTGTCGTAATCCAGTAGCAGCTTCATGGCATCCACACGGCCCTGCATGGCACAGCAGTGGATCGGCAGCAAACTCTGCAGACAGTAGGAGTTGGTACAAGTTAGGCGATGGTTAATAGTTGTTGTGTTTCCTTCCAATAGAAGGCTCAGCAAATTTCAAAGTACAGTCCAAACTATCTAATATGGCCACTCATTGTCAAGGAGAAAGATAGCCATCTAAGACAGATGGTTGACTTACACAGTGTAAATATAAGTTAATGTAAAAATACACAAGGTACGAAATGGGAAATGACCATTTGTACAGGTGATTGTCTTATACAGGTGGTCGTTAGCGCAGGTTCAACTGTAATTCACTTGGTCCGACCGTTCAATTAGATTTACAAATGACATTTCATTCCAGGAGTATAATGAGGCATCCAGATGAACTTTCAAAAGGTTTTAAAAGACTGAGTGTAAAACCAACTATCTCTTCACTGCTTGAACAGAGACAATATTGGGCCTGATTCTATTAGTGGAATGCTATGGAAAAAGACAGTGTCAGGCCTAACTGTAAGCACACAAGGCATGGTCAAATAAAGTGACAAATTACCTTTTAGAGACAATGATAAAAAGGTTGACCAAAAGTAGCTAGGCCTACTCATTTTTCCGTTAACCTATACCAGCAGTTGTGGTGGAAAGACTAGGTTCTTTGCTTTGTTTAAAGGACATGAGTTTGATTTCCACATGGGCAAAACATTTTGTCTTTTGACTGTACATTACTGACATAGTGCATCACTTTTGTTTAGCTACACAAAAAAATATAACCCTACATAAATGAAAACAGCATAAAATAACCATTATTCAGCAATCACTTACCCTGTTGTTCCTCTTCACTGGGCTGGCTTCCCGCGCCAATAACAGCTCGATGCAGTCCATCTCGGAGGGTTTCTCAATCTCTCCGTAACACTTGACGTGGAGACACGTGTTTCCCTCAGCGTCTTCCGCACTGATGTTGGCACCGTTGTCCATCAAGATCTGGTGAGTTCAGAAATCACAGACATGTTTTAGCTTCAATATATAGAGGACAGTAGTAAATTAAGGAGATGAGTAGATTTTTTACAACTTCTAAATTAACATGAGGATAGCTGTAAATTCTGGAGATTTGGTAACTTTTAACAATTTCCAAATAATATGAGGATAGTTGTAAATTTAGGAGAACAGAAACTTAGTACAATTCATTTCTAAATTAACTTATAACAAAAACATACGAGTATGAAAAAGTGCAGGTTTTCAATTAGTTCTCAAAGGCTTTAATTAAGACAACGCCACCCTAGTCCACATTATCTATTATACCAGGTTCAATTGTTCTAAGCTGAGAAAGCAAAATTTTTCAGGAGAGAAATATCTGTTCTATTTCTTTCAAAAATTGTACCTATATTATGCATCTTTTCTTGGTTTTTAAAACATTTAGAACTTGAATTCCTTGAGCACATGCAGCCCATACCATAGATTAAGAAACTCCAATAGGACAAAACGAATTCAAAATTTTGGGCTTGGTACATCAGAACATTAGAGGGTGCAGTGGCGGAGCGGTTAGTGCACTCGTCACCGAAGCGGAAAGTCCGGGTTCAAGCCTCGGTTCACGCAAGGATTTTTTTCACCCCCTCCTGCCCACCCAGCAGAAATGGGTACCTGACTTCGAGTAGGGGAAGTAAAGGCGGCGTGGAAAGGAGCTGGCCACCATACTGGCCGAAGGCCCAGGAGGTTGTCTCACTGACAAGGCAATCGCCAGTGTCCGGATCGGATGAGGGAACAACTTGACTTTTTTACATCAAAACAGATGGCCACCAATTATCTCTTTTGTCAGAGAGAAAGGTACTTGCCTCCCATGCTTAAGCAGGGGGTTCAATTCCAGGTTTGTGCTGGTGTGGTCAATAGTTAATTTTGGGACTATTCAGAGCATTTCCACAAATTCAACTTTAAATTTCATCACAAGCCGGATGGGTCTAGCGAATCACAATTTTCAAATAATTTTATTTTTAAACAAAAAAACCTACAATCTAACAATCTGACAAGCACATTGTGAACATGCACATAGTAAAAAACTCACCTAGCGAACAGATTTTCAGGTCCTGTACTTTTCTTATACTTTATATTCTTTGCATTTAAAACACGTACATAGCAAAATTCTTACACAACGAAAAGATTTCCGCATCCTACCGACTTCACTTATATGCATGCAAGACTGTATTCAGCACTACCCAAATACTACTCACCAACATTGTTTCATGATCCTTAGCACGGTGCAAAGGTGCTGCTCCTTTATAATCCTGAAGATTTATGTCCACTCTGAGCTGAAGCAGGTCTTTGATGATGTCCTGGTAACCATAGTAACTCGCCGTGTGCAGCAGTGTGCTCCCATTGATGCATCTACACAGGGAAAAGTTTTTGGTTTTAGTTAGAGCTTTACGGTACAGTAGCCTCTCCCTATGATCCCACCGCTTACAATCCCGGTTTGCTTAAGATCCCACTGTTTTAACCCATTGCACCTGAGCTACGAGTATATTCGTAGCTGCCGTGCACTTCCGTCCACTGAGCTACGAGAATAGTCGTATCAAAATACCAGTTCACAAAATCTAGTCCGAACCACTTATCCAGGTTTCTGTTAAAAATAATAGGTCACTTGTAGCTTGTAAAAACTTTTGCAAGCCCGTTTCGATCCAGTTTTTCGTCAAGTTTTTTTGTTTTGTCACCACAAATCATAACAAGAAAGCGAGTATTGAAATCTTCATGGACGAGAAGAAGAAAAAACTGCCACAAAAAACAACAGGCTCAAATGACTTCATAATGCCTCCCTGAGCCAATTCACACGATGATGTATTTTACCTGCTTCGGAGACAACAAAACTCTTTTTTCCCGCTGATATGGTCTCGAATGACTTTCTCCATCAACTCTTTATCTCCTTTCATGATTTTCGGAACAATACTTGAATAGTGCTCGTACAAACCTGAAGAATCAAAAAGAAATTCAGAATGCTGATTATCAAATTTGTCTGGCAGACATAAAACATACTCATTTGTAATACCAACAGAGTTGTTCTTCTATTGTTTTATTTCTACGTTCACTGCAGAGTTTAAACAAAAAGGCCAAGCACGAAGAATTTTAATTGTATTGTGAAAAAATTGTTGTTGTGATTCAGAAGTGAAGCATAATATATTATCATATACATGTACGTTTTCTCATTCACAATAACAAAGACACAAAGACAAAGAGTGAACATATCAATCCACACATATTGGCTATTTTTCTTACAAGGAATAACACAGAGCTATGCTTCACTATCTTGACTTAACTGAAATGAAAATGATGCAGTCATTGTGAAACAGATTTTACTAGAAACAGATTTTACTAGAAACAATTTCCTTTCGACTATCAACAAAGGAACAGAATTAAATTACAGAAACATGGTTGAAAGTTGTTCATGCGAGTATTATCCCCAAGACACAAGCAATCTCAGTACGAGGAAAGGGACTCCTTTATTCACCACATCAAACCCATTGCTTAGTGTAAGACTATGCCATAGAGGCTATTTTAACTCTTTATCTCCGTGGGGGGTAAACACACTATGCCCCTTTTTTGGTTCTCTAAAAATGACTAAAAAAGTCACTAAATCGGTCATTAAATTAAAACAAGTGAACCTATTTTGATAGTTCTTCATCTAATGAATGAACTCCCGATAAAAAAGGCCTGTTTTTGGCAATTGGCGAAAAATAATTTGATGTCGAAGTCGTCATAAAGGAATGTGCCCCAGCCGCTGTCAGCGGCTTGCCGGCATAGGGGTTCCAGCAGCAAGCCCAGCGGCTCGCCAGAGATAAAGACTTAAAAAGTGATGTACGACAGGGTCTATCTCAGAGCAGTCGATATGATGTGGCACTTAGCCAGTGCTAACGAAATTTGGCACATCATTTGATGTGTACGGAATGAATGAAGTAGCTTTTAAGACACTTCTTAAAACTCTTACCCACAAGAAACTGTCGGAACTCATCGTTTTTCACAACCTCAAATGGCGTCAACTTCTTGGCATTTTTTGTGTGAACGTTGCAGCCCCATTCAATAAACAGCTGCAAAAGTAAAATAAAAATAGGAACAAAGAGAATTAAAACTTGAAAGGATTTAAGACATAATGGCATAATATGTTTTCTCCTAACAGCTTCTCTATTTTGGTTTTTAGCTAGCAAAGCAAAGATTAAATATATACAAGAATATTACACTGCTGTGAATTTTAAAAAGGCATTTTGTCAGCTTACAGCAGTATTTTCCTTGACAATGGGTGGCCGTCTTAGACTGTCCTGACAGTACTTCTACCACAGTCTCATATCAATGACTTGGGAACTTACATGAGCAACCTGCCTCTGCAGACCTTCTATAGCAGAGTAGATGGGCGTGCAGCGGAAGTTATTTTTGGCATCAACATTGGCTCCGCTTTCTAGCAGCAGTCGAACAATATCCTACAAGAAGAAATAAAGAGTATATAAAAAAAGAAAAATATTGTGTACTTTAGTTTTAGTAGAGGGTTTTACAGCGCTCGCAACTGCATAAGGTCATATGAGCGCCAAGGGGTGGGTGTCAACAGAGAAGTCTTTACAGGGAATCAGACTTACTCGGCTCACCCCTCTAACTTCAACAACACAAAGTCTGCTTCGACTATCAAGGCACCACGGATATAGCAGTTCACAAGAGTTTGACAAACATACAAAAGAAGTAGAGGAAAATAACAATAGTAAGGATTAAGAAAGAAAAGGCAGCAGTTCCCTGTTGTAGATCAGGCACAGTTATGAGCGTGACATGAATCAGCCCATTTACAATTTTACTGTGCATGAAGGAGAAATGACCCTTTTGGGAATAGCCTAAAGACACAACAGTCAGTGGCACTGCCCCGGGGGGGGAAATATTGTGTACAAATGAATAGCATTCGAGTTAGACAATAACAACAATGACAAACAAAATATACATGAGATAGAGATTGTCATTTTAAATCACACATTTTTTTTTCCTGTTTTGGAATGGTAAGTAGAAAAGTACTCTGTCGAAAAAGAAAAGAAGTTCCATCTTTCTACAAGCAACACATTACATCAGTGCTGGCCAACTTGGGCAATATCATCCACTAATGGGTGATTTTTGTAAGACATTTAATCTTCAGCACTTACATGACCTGTTTGTTTTGCAAGCGTTGTAAAACTCTTACTAAATACTAAAAAACAGATTTGTTTTTTAAAAGGATACAAGCTGACCTGTTGATGCAGGAAACCTCACATAAAGATCAAGACGAACAAAACAAAAAAACAAAGAAAGCAAATGTTCTTAATCAACTCGAAACTCACAAAGTGGCCATGTCTTGCAGCATGGTGCAGCGCCGTGTGTCCAGTCTTGGGTTCTTTTGAATTGATAAAAGACGGGTTGTTCTTGAAGAACGTGATCATTTTCTCGACAGTCTCAATCTCGTTCTCTCTTGCGGCTTTGATGAACATCCGCTGCCAGTTACTCGTATTCCCCGGAAAGACTTGGTACAAGAAGACAGTCCCTGCCTTAAGATGCTTGTTTCTACTAGGAGCTTCATAGTAGAACTGTTTGAGTGAAATGGAATCACATTTAACTCTAGAATTTGCGGGCAAATATCGTTGCCATCATTCAACTTTGTAGTATTTCAAAATTTCAAAAATCATGAAAATCAAGTACGTTTAAGGGTCTGATGAAGCCCATCAATTGGTCCTTGTCTCATTCCTCTTCATAAAATTCTAACAAATTTAGATGAATTAAAAATCTTGTATAAATAAAAAGGCCCTGCACAAAATACAACAGATTTTTGTCTCTCCTGAAAACCTCGTATACTGACTTTCGACAATAATGAATGACGGTGACAACATATATCATATCTATCATTTTAAAATTATGAGCACCAGCTTTTTACAAAATACACATCCTGGAGTATTTTATATTTAAAACTTTTTTTTGTTTAATTAGATTACTTTCATGTAGTGTTTGTCATTTCATAAAACAATAAATATGATAGTGATGATGGTGATGATAACAGTGATGATGATAATATTATTGACAACAACAAGGATGGGGGGGGGGGGGGTGACGATGATGGGACTCATGATGATTATGATACAATGCTTACCTCATATTGAGGATAATGCAGAGGGTTGATCTCAACGGCATTCGTCTTGGGCAAACCCAGAATTTGCTTAATGGAGGCTTAAGAAAAAATAATAAGGAAAAAAAAACAAGAATACATAACATAATTTATGTTCTTTCAATTGACAGTCAGCTCAGACATAACTTAACATGTTCAGCTTTATGAGCTCTAATAGTATGCTGGACTGAGGTGAGTTAAGTTCTTGTCAACACCCTAAACCAAACATCTTTCAAGATATCACATTGACAAGTGGTAGGAGAGGGTTAAACTAAGACCTTATCAGACATACAATATTCTACAATAAAGCCACACCTTTCGAGAGACAATCTACAAAAACACTTACAACTTCAATTCATCTCATAGTCAGAAATTTGTTTTGCTGATGGCCAAATTAAAGTGTGTCATGATAATAGCAAGATTTACAGGAGAATCTGTTACTTCAAAATGCAAGAAAAGTTTGCAGCTCTGGAACTAATTTGCTGCTGATTCATAGGACAGGTCAACTATTATTATTACTATTATATATATATGAATTAGATAAAAATATGTGAGTGTATGCATGTGTGAGTAAGTGGGTGTGTATGTGCTTTAGTAAGCATGTGTGTGTGTGTGTGTGTGTGTGTGTGTGTGTGTGTGTGTGCTTGTGAATTTTTGTAGGTGTGTGCAAGTGTGCTGATGCAAGTAATACACACACAGAATAAAATTCACCTAACCATCATTCAATCACAAGGGCAAATGAGCAAAAAGAAAAGGAAAGTAAGTTTACGTTTATTTTTGGAGGTGAAATCATCCAGGAACTCCCCTGTGTCCTTATGTCTGAGAACAAGATGGCGACCTTCCGTAAGCATCTCTCTGGCATCCGACAGGTAGAATCCTGAACCATTGCTCAGGCTCTGTGAGGAAGTCACATGATGTTTAGTAATAAAACAACTTTTAATACAAAAAGAAGACTACACCAATAAATAAACAGAAACAGTATATACATAAATACAGATTTAAGGCAATTAAGAAAGGTTGAGCGCCATAAAGTATATCAATGGGAACAAAACTGAGGCTGACACCAAAAAAAAATTAACTTAACTTGACCCTTGTTTACAGTGTTAGCAAGGTTGTTTTTTCAAAGGAGATATCAATCTGTCAAGCAACAGAGACAAATCGATTGCTTAGTTTATGACTTTGCCATATGCCATTTTGAAAAGTGACTCATGTCGGAATCTTAAACAGAGCAGTACAAATGTAAGATAGAAGGTAACGACAGTTCTTGAAATGTAGGTACAAAATGCATTTACCCACATCAAAAGTAAAATGTCTTACCAGGTTGATAACATAAGACAAGCACAGGTCATTGATTGTAATGTTTCGAGGGATAGTCACGTAGTCAAATCTGTTGCGAATGCATTCCCGGATGTAATTCCTCACCTGAACAGGAAAAAATGTTATCATAGTGAATGAAATTTTTAGACTTACAAAACAAGAAATTGAAATATAAGAACAGATTAAAGAACAGATGCTGTGCCTAACTGAAAGTGAAAGATAGTTCACTTCAAAAGACCTGACAAACCATGAGTTCAAAGAAATATACAGCATCTCAAGCATGACTGTTTAAGACCCTGTCATAAGAAAACTTTCTCTTAATTATTCAAAACTTTGATTGATACCAGAAAATGAAGGGAAAAAAGTTGATTACTTAAACCCTATTTAGACTCGTAATCGTGAGGTTGCAGGGTCAGGGGTTCAAGCCCCGTTTCCAACATTGTATCCTTGGGAAAGGCACTTTACACAAATTTTCCTCACTTCACCCAAGTGGAATTGGGTAACTGGTCATAGACAGCAAAAGATCTTGTCAGTATGTTAGTGTTTTAGCACCTATAAATGGCCGCTTGCACTGTATGCTTCCCAGGAAGTTGAGGTTGTTTCAGAATGCTGTTGTTAGGTCTGCTGGAGTAATACATGGAGCATAGATTGTGAAGTGCATAGCGCTTGCCGTTGAGTGGGGATTTGCCCTATACAAATGCTATCTATTGTTATTATTAGATGATTTTAACCCGTTTATTTATATTTTGGGTTCAATTTTGTATCTGCTATCTTTCTAAAACGTTTAATTCCTTTCTCACCCTGGGTCACAATGTAGGCTAAAAACAAACACTTTCCACTTTTCCCTCCTGGGCTAGCCTCTAGCTATTATGCCATGTCTTCTCACTTTTCTGTACAGCACAAAAACTGTTCACCACATTGTTTTATTATTTTTTAACTCTTACAAAATGAGCTTTGTCTTAGTGGTTACCATTTTGAGAAAGTTTATTGAATGAGGTGATCAAAGAGGATTCAAATTTTAAGCAGTTCTGTCATTTTTTAAAATTTTGGGCAAGTTGTTTTGGGTTGGCTTTGAGTTTGAGGGTGGGATGGGGTGGGGCGATCCACATCTTGTTTCCACAACCTACTTCAGATTACTGCTCCTGAAAGAACTAAATTGTGTTAAAAAGGCTGTGAAAATAAAATTCTGTCAAACATGACATCCGAGATTACAGAGTTGATTCTAACATCAAGAGACAAAAAAAATTACATCATAATCATTTCAGAAAAACGATAAAATGTATCCATTTTTCACTTTTCATACTTACTTCCAGTTGTGTCTCTTGAACGTGGTCCACCCATCGCCTGCAGTACTCAACATCAAAGCGACGAACCATTTTTTCAATTTCTGAAACAAAAGGCAAACAAAAACTAAATATAATACAAAACATAAATCTCACAAATGAAAGAGTATAGACAGTGAAATTTCAGTTGTATAGTTCCATAAATAATTTTTTGAACTCAAATGAGGAACCATTTTCCTTAGTCTCATTTTTTTTATAACAATGATATGGAACAGAGGCTAACATCCCTTTTTGTAACTCACAGCCCAACTTTGATTGCATAAAATTTTATGCAATAATCTCAAACAATATCTTTTTAAAAAATAAGTTTAAATATGCCACAGTATTACAATTATTTTTGTGAGACAGTAACTGTAAAAACAGTGTCCACAAACTTATTCACTTTGTTAATTGTCTCAAACAGAATGTGAAAAGTACCAACCTCTGCAGTGTTACGGTAAGGCTCCACACCACAAAGAGAAAAAGATGTATAGAAAGGCATGAGTTTGATTTATACATTGGAACATATATTATCAAGTATCTCTCATATCTTTCTCCTGAGATGTTTTTCGGTACAGCCCTGACAATCTAATTTGAAACAGCCTGCCCCTTACATGAGGAAGAGGGTGGTGGGTATAAAACATTCACAATCACAATCACAATACCACAATGATACATTTCGTGCATCTCACCCTCTTTATGTCTCTCTATCTGTGATTTGAGTTCTTTCCGCCGTTGAAGCTCCTGCATGTTAGACACAATGGGAGGAAACTTCTCCAGCTCGTGGTTGCACTCCCGGATCAGTCGGCCGATCCAGTCCTTGAAGGGGAAAATATTTAATCATTGTTTAACGCTATCCGTACGCCCTGAGGTCCTTTTGTACCCCCGGGATTGTGTTCTTCACATTTTAGAAAACTTCTAGGGCAAAGATCTTTTTGAAACTTTCAGTATTTCTCAAAAAATCAATTTGGCAGACTGCTATACAAAGCGTAGGGATCGGATTGACGAGTAAATTTCATCTTTGGAAAGTGGTGGGCACAGAGTTCCCCACGTCGTATGGATACGATAGTAAAACACGACGTATGGATAGGGTTATGTCACAGCCTCTAGCGCTGTCTCCCATCCCCAAAAAATGAAATTCATGCCAAAATAAACTAATAAGTTGAATATTTTATTGTCTCATGTCCCTGTTCATGGAGCTCATGCCAAATGAACAAAAGACAAATTAAATCAAAGGAACAGACTCTCGGAATATAAAAACAATCATATCTTCAGGGATCACAGTGAAATTTTTCAACCACCCCTAAACATTGACGGTAAATCCGATAGACTGACATAACTATTGTGCACCCCTCTCCCTCCCCCCCTCCCCCTTTTCCATATCAGTTAAAAAATGCAAAATAAACCAATATATAGACGCATTTCATTTACTTTCTCAACCCTAACCCTTAGCGCCAGTCTCAGGCTACTCAAGGCCTACCGTGGCCCCACTTAAGGACGGGGCAGAACGACCGCCGACGCGGTTAAGACTGCGGAGCGGATTTTGGGAAGTTCTCACAACCGCAGAAAATCACAGGCCCCTTGAAAACTGTGATCCCTGTATCTTATAACTTATATGAATAAACATATTATCAATAATACAATTTCTTTTAACACTAAAAATCATCCCCAATAATTGATACGGAGGTCAAAGACAGAGAGAAAAATGGAGTCTGTGAAAACAAGTAGGAGGTGCCACCCCCGAAAGGTAAAATAATATGTCAAAAACATTCAGCCTAAGTTCTGTGTATGTGATCAACTTTCTAGTGTTATGTGTTTCAGGGAGAGAAATTGGCTGTGTGAGGAAATGAGGGAGGAAGTGAGTGAGCAAGGTTAGAGAGGGTGGGGAAAAGTTTATATGTGTGTGTGGGTGGGAGGGGGGGATTGTGTGTGTGTGTGTGAGTGTATGTGTGTGTGAGTGTGTGTGTGTGGGGGGGGGTGTGTGTGGGGGTGGGTGGGTGTATGTGTTTGTATGTGTGAGTGTGAGTGTTTGTGTTTATGTGTGTGTGTGTGTGTGTGCGTACTTGTGTATGTGTGCTTGTGTGTGTGAGAGAGACAAACACAGGCAGGCAGGCATAAGATAGGGCATATCTCATCTCATATCACTTTATATCATTAAAATGCAGCAGAAAAAAACTTACAATCCTTTCCACCACAATCTGACACTGACGGTACTTGTATGCCACCATGAAGAAGAATGTGAAGTAGGAAGCAACAGCCATCCCATCTGCCTGTTAGACACAGATCACCACACACAATGCAAAATGAACAACTATTTCAAAATTAATAAAAGTTGAACATTGAACATTTACAAAAATCAATGAACTTTTCTCTTCCTCCTTTGCCAAGCTCATATATTCTTCATCAAAATGTGTGCTTTAAAATTTTGGTCCTTTAAAATATATAATAGTCACTAGTTGCCAAGCTCAGTTATTCTTCAACATGTGTGCTTTAAAATTCCAGTCATTTGAAACAGATAAAAGTAACTTCCTAATCATGAGGACTGGTTTGGAATGAAATGAAATGATTATCATTGCCAAATGATATCACATCAGAACCATATTGCGTATGTTAAGTAAGAGCCTGTTGAACGTCTTAGTAACCACCAATGAGTAAACTCACCCATCTCCTGTCAATGCTTATTTAATATGAGAATGTTCACATTGAAGTATGTTTCTAAAAATATTTTTTTCTACAAAATAGAGATGAGTAAAAATGTATTTTTTACTTCTCTGTTTTTCTGACAGTTTAAATTGCAAAAAAGAAGAAGAGGGTCTCGTACCTCCACCAAGTCCTCTGAGTCAAAGGGAGTCTCTGCATAAAACATTTTCTCAGCTGATCTTAGAGCAAGGTTGATAGTCCACCTGAAGAGAAAGGTTTGCAAAAATGTGTATAAAGAAATACTACTTTTTTTTTATACCATGATTCAAAGGTAAAACATGTTCATGTCATGATAAAATGCAGCATAGTTTACCTAATACAACAAATTATTGTCCTTCTTATTCTGGAGTTGTAAAGGCTGCCTAATGAAATAAAGAGTTGGTATTTCTAAAACTCTTTCCCCCCTGACGTTTTTTTTTGTGGAAGTGACTATAAGTAAAGCCTTAAAAAGATATCTTTTTCACACTTACTGATTCACAAGGGATTAATAAGTTCACAAAGCTTATAACGTAATACAGTTCAAAGACAATGTATTCAGTCAGAATATATGTTTCAAGGCTATATTCACAAACTGTTTTCCTGAGACATTCTTCTTAGTCTCTCTTTTTCCTCCTCTATTCATTTCATAGTACTGTTCAGCAATTTTTCACTTCTCCTTCTATCCGATGTCTCCCCGACAATTCTTCATACAATTCCTCCCTTCCGCGGGGCGGTGCCACGGACTGAAGAGTCTTTAGGCCATTTCTAAAGGAGGGTCATTAACCATGTTCTTATGGACAGAAGAATTGTAATTGTAAATGGGGGCTGATTCATCAATGTCATGCTCATAACTGTGCCTGAACTGCAACAGGGAACTGTTGCTTTTTCTTTCCTAATCTTTACTATCGTCATTTTTCCTATACTATTTTGTATGTTTGTCACACTCTTGTGACCCGCTATATCCCGGGTGCCTTGATAGTCGAAGCAGACATTGTACTGTTGAAGCTAGAGAGGTGAGCAAAGTAAACCTGATTCCCTGTAAGGACTTCTCTGTTGACATCCACCCCTTGGCACTCATATGATCTTATGCAGTTGCCAGTGCCGTAAAACCTCTACTAAAAAAAAATATATCTTTTTCACACTTACTGATTCACAAGAGATTAATAAGTAAACAAATCTTATAACGCAATACAGTTTATAGACAATGTATTCAGTCAGAATATATGTTTCAAGGCTATATTCACAAACTATTTTCCTAAGACATTCTTCTTAGTCTCTCTTCTTCCTCCTCTATTTATTTCATACTATTCTTCAGCAACCTTTTCACTTCTCCTTCTATCCCATGTCTCCTCGACAATTCTTCATACAATTCCTATTTTCAGAGACCATCCATTCGACAATCCTGTGTAGGTACCTGTCATTGAGAAGTAGGTCTGTGGTGAACGTGTTGGGTACAAACGAATTGACTAGAGCACACAACACTCGGCTGTCAACCAGGTCTCCCAGACCCTGAGATGAACAAAAGTTCAGACAATCATTAGTTGACTGTAAGAAAAGAATCAAATAATAAAAACCAGAACCAGAACAGAATTAGCTATTTAAAATGTGTGTTAAAATTCCTATATACACAAATGGACTCGGAAACTCTTTCATTAAATACTACACACATACAGCTGAACATAGAATTTTTAAAATCTAAATTTCTGTTTGAACACCATAAAATTAAATTTGGCAGAGTGGTGAACAGCAAAATTGGAAAGAAAGCTTGAAACCTTTTGTTGGTTTTTTTTTACTGTATTTTAATCCAAAATCACTATTTAATATTATGTAAATGGATCTTCTTTTTTGTTCATTATGCATTGAAAAAAGATGTGCAAAAGCATATTTATACAGATACAAGTATGACATTTTATACACATTTATACAAAGATGGAACATCAAAGAGATTTCAAAAGAACAAAGAAGAGAACATTCTTCACTATTAATAGGGAAAAAATTTAGGACTCACATAGCAATACAAGTTTTTGCCTTCACTTGTTTTCTGTTGACAAAAGCATACAAAAACAATTAATAGCCACCTTAAAACGACACTACCTGAACTAATGAATAGTGTGTTCCTTTTCATTAATGAATTACAACTGCAAGGGAAAATCTGAGTCATTGTGACAGTATATATATGTTGGACATATAATAGCAGACAGTGTGATCAAATATTTTAAAAATTAGAAATCTCGGAGGATATCAAGAGTTCATTGAAACCAACAACATAGGTTTTCTAAAGTTATTACTTTAAAAATGTATTAACTTCACATAACAAGTCAAGAAAATGTATGATTAATTTTGATAAAGTAAATGTGAGACAAATTACAAATATCATATCTAAATATATGACCTGAATAATTGCAGTGTAGTATTTCCTTTGAATCTTTATCTAAATACAGTGCCTGCCAACTGTGGCTTCATGTAACATTTTGATCTGCAAACAACCTTGGTGTCTCCTACCCTTTTTATATTACACGTTTATTTTTACAGTTTAATCCCCAAATCAAGTTGCAAATGTGGAATTCATAAAGGATTTATCAAAGCCAGTTATACCCCCAAAAAATATTCTCAATCCTTAGCTGTCCTAACAGTCCACAATAGAAGCACTCTGACTTTCACATGCAGAAAAGTCTGTGATGATATTCAGTATTTACGACTGTCTCACCTTGAGTTGGGTGTTAACCATCTCTAAAATGCAAACATCTGGAGAAGGAAACTTTCCAGGGTCAACTTTCTTCTTTTTGAAGTTTTTCATAAACTCCGACTTTGGGAACTTGATCCAGTTCATATCTGGCGATGACTGGGGAAAAAAAACCCCAAAAAACAATGATGAGAGGATCAAGCTGAGAGTTATTTTTCAGGCAACTTTAGCCTAAAACAAATACCATCATTTATACTGCTCTTTGGGGAGGGAATGTAAGGGACCACAGGATGAGATAAGAACAAACCTGTATTTCAAAACAATTTTATGAATTACCAATAAATTTTACAAAAACTATACACTTATTTGAAAGTGGGAGCAAACAGAAAATCAAACAAATTCTTCATTAACCTTTCAACCCTTTGATTCCCATATATCACAATTTGGTGGGAGGTTGACGGATGTTCTAGTGCAGTTTGCTCCTTCTTTCCCTAATGTCCTTATCTGTCCTCCTTCTTTTGTTTGTATGTTATTTTCTAGTAACACCTCTAAACTTTTGCACTTACATGACCTAATAATTGTGTTGTGAGTTTGTTTGTTTGTTTGGGGGTTGTTGTTTTTTGTTGGGTTTTTGGGGGGGGGGGGGTGGTTGGGGGGAGGGGAGTTATGAGGCCAGCTTTGAACTTTCTAGATAGGCCAACCCAAGCTGCGAGGGATAAACGTTCCAGAAGAATGACGTGCAGATACCCACCACAAAAGAGTCAAACTTGGGCCGACCAACGCTGGTCTGCATATATCTAAGAAAACTTTCACATACCAAAGCCATAAACCAGGATACGACTGTCAAAGAACAAACAAGAACTTGAGCATTCAAAATTTCCGATTCATTCTCACCCTAGCTCTGCAGACAATGGCATCCCCAGCCCAGCCCAGCCCAGCCCAGCCCAGTCCCTCCATCATTGTCACACATAACACGCCACAGCTTCACAAATGATAAGTCGTAAAATCTTACGCTGTCTTCCAAGTCATCCATGACAGCTGACGCCCCAAACCCTGTCAGAAGGGACTTTTTTGCTTTGTTTTTCTTTTTCTTATACGGAGGAGGGTCAGGAGTCCACTGAAAAGATAAATCAATACAAGATCAGACTACGAATTATGCCATTTCACATACCTCGTATACACTGTTTTCATCTTAATTATAAAGAGGACAGGAAAATAGACATCACAAAAATTTTAATGGTTCTTTCATCTAAACAGGCTACCTGAAGTGGCTCATGACAGATATGTCCTTTTCCTCACGCAAGCACCAGTTCACTTTCAGCCATATAAAAGGGGAAATGAATCTTCCGGTTACTTTGTTCGTTTGTTTGAGTAAAGAGAAGCACATCAGCACAATAACATTCGTATAGTGCAGGGAAGAAGCAAAAGAGATAGACAGAAACAACAGAGACAAAGAAAAAAAGTAGGACCTGCCAGTGGCGACCTCAAAACAGTCACTCTGATTACTTTATGCATGAATTAAGAAAATAAATGAAAAAACAAGTGTACCTTGAAAGGAACTTGTGTGATAACGTCTTGATCTTCATGTTGCAAATACTCTACCCGTTCCCATAGAAACCAACAGTCATGGCTGATCAGTCTCCATAATAAGTCAAACACCTGAGAAAATGTCACAACAAAGAGTATAAATGGGATAGGCTCTAAACAGTCATTCGAGAACGATAGCTTTGAAAACTTTATACACATCACCTGTGTCACCCTTACCCTCATATATCAGATATTCACACTCTCTCAAACACACATTTACACACAGAAACACAAACACATGCACACACACAAGCATATACATACATAAAAAAACATTAATGCTATCCAATCACCTTGCTTTGATTTAGCACACCCAACTAAATAATCATACATAAAATGTCAATTTTTAAAAAATGGTGGGCTCAAATTGAGTACTCTAATACTGAATCTGTTTTCTCAGCCTGAGGATACTCACACAAAAATATACACATCATCATTCCCTCTACCTGCGCTTACTTTATAAAAAACCCTTGCAAGACAAAGATGCCCAAAATGAAAGTTAAAAAAGAGCTCGCAGGTCAGGTCTGAGGGCCTCGAGACTGATTTTCACTCACCCTGAGCACATTTAGCTTTTGGTATTTTCCGATCCCTCATTCAGTCTAGATTTTATTGACACTAGTCGTTGAGTGAGTAACATTAACAGAATTCAGTTTTACTGGGTTCTATGTTGTGTACTAACATTTTTTATGTTTAACCTTGTTTTTTTCTCAAAACACATTTTTCCACCACTTTTTACTGGCATATGCCATTTTTTTACTCCACCATTTTTCCAACACAGAGACTTGAAATTTGGCAAGTAGCTAGAAAAACAGTTTGTACTTGTAGTGGGCAGGTTAGTTTTTGTATTTCGCTTTAGAATTGTTTTTACAATTTTTTTTAAAAGTCAAAAATATCTTTTATAGATCAAATTCAATATCCCCAACTTTGATAACAATTTTGAATACTTTCTAAGTATAGTATCAAAAATCAAAATAGCTAGCTGCAAGCACTCATTTATTTGTGTCATTTTGCAAGTTACAGAATTTCAAAAAGTTAAAAACTGTAAAAACGGTGGAGAAAAAAAATTGTCTATCCAATTTTCAAGATGACCACCGTTTCCATGGCAACGGCTTATGTAATCGAGTGTGTCAACAGTTGACATGAATCTTTTGTCTCATACTTACTGCCTGTGACAAAAGTTGTTTCAGTTTGTTTTTAGTTAAAAATGTTTTCCCGTAAGTTTCGAGTTTGAAATACAGACACGTTTCCCATGAGTATGTTATCGATACGTCCACACCTTGGTTTGTGATAAGCCAAGTACAAAAATAAATAGCATCAATTAAACGAAAAAAATCATCCTTTAGGTCTCCCACTTTCTTTATAACACATTTCATTTAGGAGTAAAAAAGAGGTTTCATCTTAACATCATTATATTAAAATGGTATTCATTGAGCATAGCATAATCCACAGAATGCACTTTTCCCAATACAAAGCAACAGGTCTCAACTTTCTTAAACCAAAGGTTCACTAGAATTTGAAAATCTGCAAGAGACCACATAATAATGGGAATAAAGTATTCTGCTGTACTTTTTCTGAGATAGTTAAAGACATGACCAGACACAAGGTTGAGCTACAATGTTAACAACTCCACGAACACAGTCTATACCCTCTATTCACTCTTGTGGAAGGCACCAGAAGAAGTGAAAAGTTCATTGCTACGTGGTCACTGATGCATTTTTTAATATACCAATGAGCTTGTTGTTTATAAAGATTTGATGCTTGTGGCTTCAAGTACAGACGAAGATGTGTCTATACACCATCAGCTGGACAATCCAAAATGCCAATGAATGGACCCAAAACTCACAACAATGAGGATAAGCAATTGAATGAAAGGCAGCCCCAGAATACTACTGACACAACTGCTGGTTGTATCTTAAAACTTAGAAGTCACACAGTCAGCAGTACAAAATACCCCATCTGGTCACCCAGCCAGGAGAGCAACGGCAAGCAACTTCTTGGGCCTGGCGGTGACCGGAACGGATGATTTTTACCACAGTAATATTGCGCCAAGTGACCGCAAATTGTTAAAAGCTTTCAATCAGTTCACCTAAGCAGTACGTCAAAAACACCTGTATGTGATATACCTAGTACTTCAGTGAAAAAGTCACATTATTGATAGTTTTCACAACAGCAATAGTATAATCTCCAAAGGTAACAGACATACATGATCGGCACTTCTCATGGCAAACATCCGCGGGTCAACGTACACATCATGGGGGAGAACATCACACTGTTTGAGCTCCTCCACCACCCACTCCACTCTAGTCTGAAGCTGCTGCTGGGACAGCCTGAAACAAAACCAACATGATGATTCAAAATAATTTTCAAAATTGTATCAACCAGTAATGATATTTAAACACATTTTCATACACGGATCCCCGTTTTCAACCTCACATCAGGAAACTGAAGATATTAAAAATATATATACCATCCCTGGCAAGTAAGAGTTTTTGTTGTTACGTTATCTTAATCCATCAGCACTTGGACTCTTGGCCTTCAGCATAAAGCAAAGTTGTAGCAGCAGAAAAAATTTAACTTTGTAGTCCACGTTCTAGCCATATCTCTATGAAATTTTGTAAAAGAAGTTTTCAGGCAGCCTAGACAGGTTTGCATTAAGTTGACAGCACTGTCAAATGTAAATCTTTTTGCCAGCTTATCTGCTTTCCATTAGCTGGGTACTTCTAGTAACAAGTGAGAATAAGTGACCAATGGTAAGAGAAAGAGGAAATCGCCCTAATTCAGTTTACGGCTGAATATGTAGCTGTTGATTTGTTTAGGACTCTGACAATGATTACAATTATGAGTAAGAAAATATTTACATTTTTTGAGGCAAGTGTTTTACGGCGCTCGCAACTGCACAAGGTCATATGAACGTGCGGGACACACCAAACATTTTCAGTTGGTAATAAATTTAGAATTTTGCCAGAGTGGTGGCCAAAACCTACTCTTATCGATTTTAGACCACCAGGGATCTTTAACATGCAAAACTTGCACACGGGACCTCCGAGATTTTTTGTCCTTGTCCGAGAAGGCTAGGTGTTGATCTTTCCTACCAGAAGATCAGAGGTGTGGCTGAAAGACAGCAGTAAGAAGGAGCCAAGGAGTAGCTGTAGAAAGGCTGCAGAAAGAGTCAGGAGCCCAGAGGAGGGGACAAAGGAGGTCATCGGTAGGAGTAGAAAGTGGAGACGAAAACAGACTACAGAACATTGGTACAGGACAAGAAAGGAGGTGAAAGGAAACAATTTTAGAGAAGAAAATTTTTCTGTCGCTACCCGGATTCAAACCCTGGACCTTTGAATGAGAGGTGAACACCTTGACCTCTAAGCCACAATTAAAGCTCCCTTACATTTTCATCAAATGTTTCACTTTCTCACCCCACAACTTATAGCATACTTTAAAAAGACAAATACATAAAACAATACTCTAAATGTACACTTCATTTTATCATCTTTAAAGCAATACCGATTTTAAATGTGTAAGCTATATATGTTCGTTTGGGAATTATTTGTGTTTTGTGTTTTTAGAACATATGTCACCCTCTAAAATATAACCACTTTCAAAAGTGAATTCTAGCGAAATAGAGAAAAAAGGTTACAACAGTAAAGAGTGATCAAACACATACCCGTCCATACTGTCTAATTTTCCAATATCTCGACCAGTGATGCTCTCGATGAGATATTTCATGCCTGTTCCTGACAGTAAGTCCATCAACACATTTGACATGAGCTGGTTGTACGGATTCAGGCGAAGGTTCACCCATGCCGTCATTCCACGAATTCGGGTCCGCATCGACATTTTGACAGTTAACAATTAACTTAATGCAATTTGAAATGATTTCAGGTATCCTTAACCATTTGTCATCTAAGGCAAGCTTTCCGCTTCAAGGCTCTCAAAAGATGACAAACCATCTTTGATCCCTGAAAATGAAGTATACAAAAAGCACTAAATGTAACAGATCTAATCAATTCACAGGACATTAATAAAAAAAAACCTCATAGGCTCGAGGCTTTAAAAGCAGATTATATTATTAGTCCTTTAATTTTTCATTGCTTTTATTTTTTCCTTTAAAAATTCAAAACTGAGAACAAAGCGTATACTTAATGAATAACTCTCTGAGCAACTGTACCTGATGCACTATCAAATCTACTTGTACCGTGTAGATCTAGGTTTACATTAAAAAAGAAGGTACACTGGATATCATGTGAGAGTAAAAGAAGAAAAAGTCATCCTCAGCACGCCATCCTTAAAACAAGTTAAAATCATTTTTGACACATGATGTCACAGATACCACCATGT